TTCAGAATTTTCAAGTCATCAGGCAGACAATAAATTGCAGCTAAGAGGATGCATTGCTCCCACTAATTGATTATTTGGACTGAATTTTGGTAAAACATTAAGCAATAATGAGTTTCATGTTTTTCGTCACCTTATTTAATTAATTCTTTATTTGAATTTCTAACACAGGGGCTATATATGCATGCATATAGCTTCAGTTAATCTACTGAAACAATACAAACCAAGATGACAATTGAATATTTATATTATATAATAACGACAATGTCAGCAGCTATCGTGTAGTACAATTGGTGACAAGATCACACTTTCTTCGAAATTGGAATGTCATATTAAAATATAAACATCTATGTTTCTTTAACTTGATAACACATTAATATAGACTTCATAGTTTTAAATATTCTTTAAGTTAATTCTGAGTTTTACGTACATAAATGCTTGATCATGTGATAAATGCATATATTTTCAACTAAAACAAGCATGAAATTGAATCCCTCTTTAATCTCCTACCATTTGTGCTTTGATAAAAGAAACTAATATTATGTCGGGAAGAATAAGATAATTGTAGAGGTTCAAAAAGTTGTCTAGAAGGAAACACTCCGGGTCCGGGATCTAGTTCTAGTGGCCACCACAAATCGCAGCATTTAATTGTGAAACACTCAGATATATGTAAGCTTGGAGACATTTTCCACGAGTCAGCACAATATTACATATGTAGGGGCTAGGAATTATGAGTGGCCGATTCCTCACAAGAGGATGAGAAGGAAAGGATGTCCAATTTCGGTCCTAACTCGATCGGATGGGCAACGTAATGAATCCGCCGTCATCCTCACCCTCACCCTCACCCTCAACCTCTTGTTGCTTTCTTCCTTGCGTAATTTCCTCATGAATTAATGACAAGCATGTCCGTAACAGAACCTTTTCACCTGTCCTTTGGGCTTTGCCTTTTTGACTCGTTCCACCCCAATTCCAACTACCACCAGAGCACGTTTTTCTAAAGCTTTTTAAAAAAAAAAATTTTTTTGACCTTTCAAACTTTTCCACAAGTCTACCTTTCTACCGTTTTTTTTTTTTTTTTGGTTCAGCTGTGGTAGGCGGGCCCGGGGTTGGGGGCTATTACTACAATTGCCCATACATTTAAAGCTGATAAGGTGGAAGGGGAAGAACTTACGTGAAATTCTTTATCTCTTTTTCTCTCTTAACACCTACAATTTCCTTATTTTAGATGTTTCTACATAACTTAAGGTTTATATAACTTACGTGAAATTTCTAAATAAGTAAATGTTTATACTTGAAAAAAGTTAAGAACCTTCCCTTGCATTAAGAAATCTGAAAATAAGAGAATAAAATGCAGAAATTAATGTCAGAAACAGATTAAAAGGAAAGACTTTTTAGCTTTTAAGTCAAAAACTATTCAAACCCAACCATATGTAATAATCTCTTTATTAGGCTACATCTGGAGCACATTCGTAATGAAGCATATGAAGGCTGAAGACCCACAATTGTCATTGTAAAATCATCTATCTGATTGATAGAAAATCAGAGTTCTAGCCTGAAAGAAAAGAAAAAGAAAAGGAAAACTTTTATCATATTAGTAAGATTGAACTGAGGCTTATAAAGTTAGATTCGACTGGTTTCAGTAAGTCTCTTTCAATACTCTCCATTATTTGGAAAGCTGTAACTGTTCAAATTAGTTCAAACTTATATAAATCTGTCAGTACTCCCACTCCCCATCGATATTATCTCAACCCATGCCTACGTGGCAACTTCCTGTCTGAATTTTTACTGTAACTTAACAGCACTACAATGTTGAATTAATGTTGTTTTGGTTTAACTTTGAACCGAAGCCTCGTTGGCGGCCATGTGTTCCACATTGCTTGATTTTGACTGTCTGTCACGAGCTGTGGACCAGATCAGCCTACCAGGTGAGGTCAGCTCTTATTTAAGCCCAATGGACAATGTCGTAATGGCCATTGACATAGCTGCCATCTTGTTGTCTGTTGTGGCTGCCTGACCTATGATGAAAATTAAAAAAACCTAGGAAGGGTCAAGCGAAGGTGGACCCAAGAATCCGAGGACAAAACTGAAATTCAGAGAGGTGGCTAAAAGATTATTGAATTTCACATTAAATGCAATACATTTTTCCTCTTTTTCTATGGGAAATTACTATAGAATTCGATGTATATTCAAATATTCCTTTTTTTTTTTTAAGTACAATAAAAGCAATCGATCATGCTCTAAAAGCCCAAATGGAAGCGAGTGTAGATATATCAGATCACCCTCTATTATTACCTCATGAAGCAGCATTTCTATAATGCTACAAAATCTATTTAGATATATGAATATTATTGACAGGTAGGTTTTGATTGCTTTAATGATTAAAATTAAAAGTGATACGCTCCTTCAACTGTTTAATTTGACAACCATGAAAGCAGTCAACTATGTCTGTATTATATACGATCACTGATTTATTTTACAAATTCAATTAGACATGGAAGTTGTGGCAAATTTCACAAAATGTCGGGCACCAAGGGGGATGAGCAAACTGGGATATTCGAGGGAAAGCTGATATAACAACTCTGGATTCTATTTCATTTTTGCAATCATCGGAATCCGTTTCGAAATCCTTTACATTTGACTCAGACTCCTCACAGAGTGAAGGCAGTGATATGGGGGAGAATTGATTTGCCAGCTTTTGCTGGGATGGCTCGATTTCTATGTTCGCCTGCAATTCTCTCAAGGAATCTCACCAGAGCTTCAATCTTAATCTTCAAACTCCTTTGAACTTTCAATATAAACTCTTAAGAAATATTTAAACTACATCCATGAGGCTATTACCTATACCTTTATTCTTTGTAAAGAAACTAAAACAAAGAGAATCTAAAAATTTTCATGTTTTGGCTCGTGCATGGATATATAGGAAATGCCTCGAGTTGATCATTTCCTTGTTTTCTTTGTGCTTTCTTATGCAATTGCAAGGCTTTGTTAAGCTGAGCTCCTCTTCAATGATTTTTCAATCATAGCAGTGACACAATAAGCAATTAATTAGAGAGAATATAAAACTAATGCTATAATTCCCCAGCAAAACATAAAAGAAACGATAACTCAGGATGTTGTACCAGAATTAGGCAGTATTTCTGAAATATTTCTCCTCTCAAACATGCTTTCTGCAGTTAGAGAAATAGAAACAAAGGCATCAAAGAACCAACATCTTTCGACTAGTTTTTTCTCTTCCTAATTAACGTTAATGTTAGTTAAAGGCTGAAAGTTCATTCAACTTAATCGTATTTTTTTTTCAGGAACAAACTTTAAAACCCTATATATCTGAAAAAAAAAAAAAAAACAATTTTGAAATATATGAATCAGTTGATGAAGAGCAAGATACTTAGATGTTTATATAATAAAGCAGGAATATTAAAGGCATTTTCATTTAACAGGCAAAGAAGGTACATTTAACTATTTGAGAGAGATCAATTAACCTGCAGGTAACTTTTGACAAGATAAATGGTCAATCCATCAACGCCCCATAGCCTTCAGAATACCCTTGGGCATCGACCCTGCCAAATAAAATTTACATAAGCACCACCCACCTTAAACCAGAAGGAGATAGAAAACCAACCATGAATAAAAAATTCCAGGCTCAAAACTTACTATCTGGGCCTCCGAGCTGATTAAGAGCTTCGTCGAATCGATTATGAGGCTCTTGAGTCCATCTCAGGTGTTTTGGCTAGGCCATCAGTGCGACTAGGACAAAGCATTGCGGAGAGAATGGCTCATTGTAGGACCAGCATTTGCCTCGTGGTAGGAGGTAGATTATAGAGAGGTGGGAGTGAGACAAAAACAGTTGGAAACCAAAAAATTTTTTTTTATTGTGGCGATGAGCACTAAGAGTACATTGAGAGGATTAATGGGAGCCTTGAAAATGTCTTATTGTGTCAAATTTCCTTGAGGTTTCGCGGATTCATAATCATATCATATCATATATAATATTATATTATAACATATATAAAAATTTGATAAAATTTGTTTATGTGGATGTTTAGGTGAACAATTTATATTTTTAACTCATAAGATATTTTCAAATAATTTTATGAAATCAATTATTTAATTTTTAAAAATTTTAAAGTTTCAAAATTTACATTTATCAAAATCTTTCCAAATATATAAGATTTATCTTAATTTAAATCTAATAAAGTATATCTTCTCATATTTCACTCTTATCAAATTCAAATAGTTTTTAAAGGTTAAATTCCTAAATCTTAAAAATTATAAAAAAAATTTATATACAATCTAAATTAATATTCATATAAATTTAAATAAATAAAATTTATAATTGAATCACTGTTTTTTTATCAATTTTTACCTTTATTTTTTTTATAATTTAAAATTAAAAAATTTATCTCAATTCAAAATTATACACATATCTAATTTTAAAATTATACTAACTTCTTTTATCTTAATTTAAAATAAACTTGGATAAACTAAATTTTTAAAAATTTAGATTTTTTAAATTAAATAATTATTAAATATATATTTATGATTTTTTCTCACAATCAATATTTTTTTCTTTTTGTCATAAAATTTTGACAAGATAAAGTTTCAAATTTAAATATGAAAAAGTCTTTCATGATATATCATATATGTAAATTTTAATTTTTATACTAAAATAATATATACTTTTAAAAACTTTATGTAATTGTGAATAAAAGACTAATTTTCTCATTGATATTTATATATAATTTTACTTTCATAATCTAAAAATTTCATAATGTTTATTTAGATTCTTTCATAATAATTTATATATCGATAATTTTTTTAATTTTAAACTACAAATTATAAATGATTATGATTATTTTTATTTATCTATATAAAATATATAAATTAATATAAATTAAAATTTTAAACTATAAAAAAATATAATAAAAAAACTCTGTGCATGGCACCGATAAAAAAAATTAGTTAATTATTAAACTCAAATTCAGAGGGTTATGTTCCTCTTCAAACTCTTTGGGCTAGGATCTTCGACACCAAGGTCCAGATCAAACAAAAAAAAAACTATTTTACTATAACATGACTACCAACCTTAGTTCATTCCCCCCACAACCCATAAGAAAATGGGCTTCACTATATGACCCAACACATGTAAAGTTCTCCCAAATTTTAAAATAGACCCCGTTTTGGGCTAACTCCGTCCTTCACCTGGCATCTTTCACTTCAGCATCGGCAATCCTTGCATCATCTAATTTTTCATTAACTCGTACCATTTGGGAATATCAGTTATTGACTATTTAGTTAAGTTATGATCCCTTACCTTGAGGGAGGAGGAAAAGACAGAGTAACAGACCTATGCAAATTTTACCGACGAATTTTTCATAACAAATTCTAACATATCAGCGAGGAAACAGAACTTCCATCCAGTTCTAAGCATCTATTATAAACAGACGTTTTGTCGACAAACATCATTACATTACCAAACATAGGAATATTGTTATACTGCTTTGTCAGCCATTGAAATGTCTGTCCTCTTGTCATCATTTTAGTGACTATCACTGCCTGCCCCTCTTCAGGCCGCAAGATGGGCATTTGTACTGCTTAATGCTCTCAGCTTTAGCAGGTGTTATCTTAACGCACTTTCCATGGAACCACCTCTCACAAACATCACAGCCGATCCAAAACTCATCTGCATTGTAATTCCCACCACAGCTGCCACATAGTGTTTCACAGTGTTCATCTTCATCATCCTCGAAAGTCTCATCCACAAGCTTAGGATTGCTTTTCACTGCTCCATCACTTGATCTCTATAAAGTAAAGAACCCAGTCAAAGACTAACAGTAAAATATATAAAACCTGCACAGTTTAAAGCACCAAAAAAAAAAAAAAATCATTATTTCTTGTAGGGAATATTAGGCTTGCTATGCAGGCCTCATTCATACCAAACTGTGCCTCAGTCACTTAACAACTTGGGCTAAAGTTTGTGATTGAAACTTCTAAGCTCAAATAATAATAAGTTTTAATTGATTAACCTTTGTGTTGCCCCCAGACTTGCTCGCACTATCCAGGCTTGATTTGTCTTTAACAGGCTTCCTTTCAGTTACAACCTCAAAGACTGTGGGAAGATCGTTAATCATGCTAAATAGACGTTTCCTGTAAAGATATATTGTAATCAACAATTATAAGTTGTATTCTATAAACGACAAAAATATGAACACAATAGCATATCATCTATGCATACATATATCAAAATTCTACTCTGCCAAGCACCACAAAAATCTACTTCTGTATTAGTTTTGATAATATTGCATAGTCTGGAATCTGGGCTTCTAACAGTCCAACTAAGTGAAAATAGTTCAAGCCTGAACTATCATTAGAGCAACAACTGAACTGCACAGGAAAAAAAGGGAAGCCTTCCCTGATACTAATCAAACTTGAATCAACTTGATTTTCAATGAGATTATAACTGCATACGCTCACTCCTTAAACATAATCCTTCCATACATGAAGCAAAAACAGGGTTAGAAGACAGTACCTTTCATTGCGGTTAAGACGTGCACCAAGATAGAAAGCCACAGAAACCAACCACGAATCACTATGCACTGCAACCAAGGACAACCAATCTTTCCGGTTCATTCCATCTCTTGCAAAATTAATACCAAGTGCCGGCTCAGGAAGCTCCGGTGGAACTTCCTCCGCTGGCAGAGTAACTTCCCAGCTTTCATTCGGATGTCCATAAAGGCATAAATTTTCTTTATCTACACCAAACAAAACGAAAAGATAAAATTTTCTAATATAAACCTCTGTTTGATATCTCCCTAACTGTTTGTACGGAAATCATAGAACTTGAATCTCCAAGGTAATTGCAATAGTCGAATTTAGTAACTTTATTATTACAATTTTGAGGTTTCGGAAATTCCTTCTATTTAATTATTTGAGGAAGGCGAATTTCTAAATTCAATTAAGAACAGAAGTAATTAAATGTAAAAAATAAATAAAACTACGAAATTCAGCAAAAACAACATGCAAAAAGAGAATTGAAATTATAATTGGAAAATATGTACCTGGATCACAGAGTCCATAAAAGTCATCCACATCTGAGAGAAAGACAAAAAACGACAGCGTTGAATAGGCACAAAGAGAAAAAAAAAATGGAAGCAGAAGAAAGGAGAAAAAGATTGGGTATAATTTTACCGTGAGTTAAAGCACGAACAATGGCGGTTCTTCGAGCAGAGTAATCTTTGAAGATCTCCTCAACGGTTCGAGCAGTGGAAGCCATTTCCATGACCAAATTATAAGGGAAAGGAATCTTTATTTATGCCAACTATAGAAAAAGAGGAGACATGAGGAAATTGAGGATCCAAACACAAATCGTAAGTAAGTAAACGTTGAAAAATAATAATAATAAAAGGAAAGCAGAGATGAGAGAAAGAAGGTTAGGGGTTGGGGAGGATTTTGGGGAGAGGAAATTGCTAGTGCCACTCCTCTCTTTGGACGATTTGGCGCTTCCCCATTGGTTGTCTCCCAAGTTCCTAACCGGGCGCTCACCACCACTCTACACTCTATTCAGAAAGCCCTTCACAACAATAATGCTTTCAAAATAGGAATTACTTGGTACAATATTCTTAAAACACGAGATGATACGTGTTCACATTTTGATTTTAAATTAATACAGGATAAAAATAAGTTTTAATTTGGTAATAGACGATGATGCTATTAAGCTTTTTCATTTAAGTTTTTTAATACAGACAAATCAGCTCAAAAGTCAAAACTGCTGGTTAACCACCGGTCAAAACCGTCCAATTTCGCTATCTGCAAGGTTAGTTTTAACTTGGCAATTGTTTTATTTAAAAGAAAAGACAAAATAATGACTGAAGAACGAAGCTCCCTTGTCAGTTGGACGTTTGGCCTTTTGCACCAACACTTTCGGCAGCTCAAAAATATTTGAGCTATGGATGGGTAAAAAGAACAGAACTAGGTTCTGACAAGCAATCGCGGCTATTAATAATGCATTCCTATTTAACAAATGTTTCTGTGAATGTTCAGGAGTTTAATTGTTCTATAGCTACTGTGCTTGCCGCACCTGAAAGTTCATCATATTAAATGTGCTGAAAGCGGCTGAACCATTCAACTGTTTTCTTTGTTTACACTGCGTACCCGCAGTAAAACCCAATGAACCACTGGAAACACCGTTTCTTGTACCAAGTTAAGCATACCACTCGCATTCATCCTGAGCCAAGATGTAACTCTATAATACATTCATAATGGATACTAATGGATTTCCTTGTTCATAGATAAAGCTGGCTAGGCTAAACTGAAGTCGAAATTGAGCTGGTACATACTACTCCACTCCACTCCACTTTTCTTGCAAGAAGGAAGCGATCAAGTACGTCCTCCAAATGAACTTCTCAAGGACTAGAAGACTTGTGTACGATTAGATAAGGGAGATTTGAGCCAAATTAAAGGCCTTCACCATTAGCTGTGGCCAGTTACCGCAAGATTAAGAAAAAAATTTTAACAAGCAGAGAAACAAAATATATGATAATAATTCATAAACTCCTAGATAACTGTTATGTAAACCCAGTTCAGCAACATATGAATTTCCTTCCAAGAAAAAAACAAAAGAAATAAAAACAAATGTGAACTTACACAAGTTGGCTGATAGTAGCAAGGGCTACCAACTATTATTAGGGAGACGATATTAACCGCTTCAGGCCAGTTTTCTGCTCTGTTGTAAGCTTGGTAGGGAACTTGATGTTGAATTTAATTCTCAAATTTCCTTTCTTAGAAGGTTCCTTGGGAATTGGCATTCCCTCCCCTTTAACAACTTCTTCATAGGTCGGACTGATGATATTGTTAATAGGTACTGTCAGATTCCGTCCATCGAGTGTTGTCAGCTGCGCTGTATAACCAGTTAGAGCTTCCACTAGAGATATCTTCTGAGTAACAATAAGATCATTTCCATCCCTCTTGAACACACTGTGAGGCTTCTCATCAATGATGAATACAAGGTCAGAAGGAATAACCCCTCGTTGCTCATTTCCCTTTTCTGGAAAAGTGATTTTAGTACCTTTTTTCCACCCTGGCTTAATCTCAATAGTAAGAATTTCCTCCACCGTAGTAGGCCTCCTGTACAAGAAAAAAATTTCACAGTTTAGAAGGTTAATGAAAAATATCAAATAATTTCCTAGAACTACAAATAGAAGAGTTTTTTTAGTATGCTACATATATATGGTTAAAAGTAGGAACTTCACTCACAATAATTTGACCACTCAAGTCTTATATAACTATACACAGTGCAAAATCGTGAGCTCTCACTGTTCTAAATAAATAAGCACTCATAGCATGCAAACTTCAGACTTCAAAAGTTGAATTCGCATGGTAAGTTTAGCTTATATAAAGTCATGGTCTACGAAATTCCACTTAGCGTGTTAACCTAAAAGACTACTGGTCTGTTGATAATCAGGTTAAAGTGAAGCACAACAGCAAGGATAATCAAGGACCAAGGATATACCATTGCAAATCCACCATCATGTTAATAATGTATTATTCGTCATTGGATGAAGCCAAGTTTACAAATTTGGCAAAAAGCAAAAATATAAACATAAGCAATAACTTAAAAAGGAATCTTGAGTAAGAATCAAGAAATCTCCAAAGTTGGTCACAAACAAATACATAAAAAAAGAAGCTCCATGATCAATCTAATCCTTATTAACAGAGAACAAAGTTTAAAAAAAAAGCCTTATTGATGAGCGAACACCAAAATAGAAGGAAATAATCATATCATAGTAATTAAAACAGATAATACAATACCATGAAAGGTATTTCTGTCACTTGTGTAAATGAATAACTGACCATAAGCCCTTAAGTTTCAAGTAAATAAAACGATGTCAAACCGAAACCACAAAACAAAAAGACAAAGGGGAATAAAACCAAAATCATTTTGCTAAGTATGGAAGAAGGTTCAAATACAGAGAAAGTATGGGTATACCTTGGTGCAATGACATCCCATATAAAAGGTATCCTAGTATGGAAAACTAATATAGCTTTTTTTTTTTTTGACAAATGCTGACCAATCTAAATCTGTCTAACATAGAGACCTCAAGCAAGAAAGGACTGAATTAAATAGCAACATAAAATTAAGTTCGTAAGATCTCAGTAATCACAACTATTTTCTGTTCAAAACTAATTGCCATGCAACTTTGTCATCACTCAGGAAAGAACTAATCACTTTAAATGATTAGTTCTCTTATTTTTAACAAAAAGTCAAACTTGGCAGCTTCTGTAAACATCATTTGCAACTTAATAGCCGTAGCTTGAAGATGTTAATTATTCCTTCCCTTATGCCTAGAAACCTTTCGAAGGATTCAATTGTTGATGCTCTACGTTATACAAGTCATATTCAAAGCTAATAACAATTGAATTTAGATCTACAAACGAATCCAGCTGATAATTCACTATCCACATAGCAAAATAAACACAGATAAACTGAGAATTACCCAATTAAATTAACTTGCAAAAAGAAAACTATAACCCAAATAATTAAAAGTGAATGATTACCCGCTACCATCAGTAACATCCCTAGAAATCTTCATCTTCTTGGTAGTCCCCTTATACAAATCCTCCAAGTTGCAAGGCAATGTTCGTTCAATAGCGGGTCCTTTTCGGGGCATGGTTGTAGAACCCTCTCCAGAAGCACCCCTAAAGGAGCCAAATATATCTTCCCCAAACATACCCCTGGGGAACCCCGACGGCCCCGCACGTGACCCACCCATATCACCCATCCCGCCAAACGGACTCGAAAACCCGAAAAACTCCGAGAAAATATCGTCGGGGCTCCGAGTATTGAACCGGAACATCGTCGGACCCCCGTCCGCCCCACCTTGAAATCCTCCCGCCCCCGGAGGAGGCATCTGGCCTTTTAACCCTTCTTCACCGTACTGATCATAAACCGCACGCTTTTGGGGATCACTCAAAACCTATGGTTAATCGATAATTTCATTAATTAAAAAGATAATAAGAAAGAGAAAGAAAAAATAATTAAAAGTAAAAAAAAATTATTACATCATAAGCTTCGGAGATTTGCTTAAATTTGGCTTCAGCTTCTTTCTTGTTGTTAGGGTTTTTATCGGGATGCCACTTCATGGCCAGTTTGCGATACGCTTTCTTCAAATCTTCATCTTTTGCATTCCGGTCGACCTGAAGAATCTTGTAATAATCAACGCCCATTCTTCAATTTCCTTTTTTTTTTTTTTTTTTTCGTTTTTTGCTGCTGCTTGGGGATTTTTCTATTCCCTTTTGATTTTGTTCTTTCCTTTTTTTTTTTTATACAACTTCAGCTACTTGCGCCACCAACATAAATGATAAACCGTTTGAGTTTATTTAACAATATATTATTTTTATCCGCGTATGGTGGCATTTGGTAACATAATTCGATTGTTTTTCATCGGCTCTTTGCTTTGTAATTACATAGGCTACATTTCTCTTATTCTTAATAATTTGTCACTTAATATGAGTGATTTGTTATTTCAATTTTATTAAATATTTATAAATTCAATTAATTATAAATATTAATATTTTATTTTTGAGTTTAGATTCATATATATAATATTTTAATATTTATCAACTTAATTATTTATAAATCTATGATACCAATGAACAAAATTAATTATAAATACATGTATTTTGACTATTTATTAATTTAGGTATTCATGAATTTACACATTTATAAACTCAATTAATTATGAAAAAAATTTATTATTTGTGTTTTGTGTCATTTATATTTTAAGTCTAGGTTTATATTTATTATTTATTATTTATGAATCAAATTTAAATTAAATGAATTTAACTATTAACAAATTTAATTATTTATGAATTTATAAATTTTATGAATCAAATTAATTATAAATGAATTTATTAAATGTTTAATATAATATAAGTTTAATATATTTATTAAATAATATAAATACACGTAATTATCATATTAGTTTTTATCATAAACATAACCAGTAAATAACCTATGATTAACTTGGAATGAAAGGTAATACAGTATGCATTTCATTCTTGAACACAATTTCTAAAAATAAAAAATATAAATAACATAAACTTTTTTAAATGTAATATAATTTTACTAATCCAATCTTGTTTTTTTTTTGTATTGTAGTCTGATAAATATGAAAATTTGGATATATGCAATTATAATGTATCTTTCAATAAGGGATTGGATATCAAATTACTGAAATGATTATTTTTTTAAGTAACAAACTTTAATTTACTTATCGAAGATTGTACTATTTATATTATATTTGTTGTCGGTAATTATATGACATTCTTTACTATAAATATTTATTTTAAAATAATATTTATAATATAAATTTATAAATTATAAATTATATTTTTTATGCTTATTTATTTTCAATCAAAATTATTTAAATAATATAATTAAAAAACAATACAAAAAATTCAAAGCAACGCTAGAGACGAATCACTAATTATAATAATCGAAAGGAAAGCCGTTTGCTGGGGACTGAGGAGTATGGCATGTATGACTTACATGCAAAGCAGGTCAGGCTTCGGCCCATTATCTAATTGTCACAGCCTTAACTTCTAACTCTCAAGGCCGAACTGATTTTTTGAGCTTTGTTTTGTTACTTTTCCGAAAAATAAATAAATAAAGTATCATTATTTCATTGATAATAAACTTTTTAAATTTAAAAATATGTAGCTAGCAGAGTGATATATATATATATATATTAAAATAAATTAAGAAAGTAATTAAAAATAACATATATATTACATTTTAAATTTCATTAACAATAGATAAAAACAAACTCAGATTTTTTTTAGCACTCTATAGTTAAATAATTAACCCTTCTCCGTGTCACCTTCCAAAATTTTGATTGACTCTTTCAAATTGCATATAAACCTTTGAGGTGTAATTTTGTAAGAAATATTTCTCTATGCTTTTTCTGCTTTGCCAATTAAAATGTATGCCCTGGTTTCCTTCTTTCCATAACTATGGATTGAATTCCATTGGGCATGGGAGATATGGTTTAAAATTTTAATAAATCTTTCAATTTTGGATAATATTTTTGCAAATTTGTCGAATGTGACACCATGTGAAACGACAGAGAACACTAGGGAAAGTAGAAAATGGTCACTAGATTGTTTGCCCCCTTTATTACAACAAGCACACAAAGCCTGCACAAGGACCCAATACTATGACGAGGTTCCACTCAATGGAAGTTTAAGATTAGAGCATTAAAAAAGGGAAAATGGGAGAGCCGTTTAGATTCGGTTAGATTCCCCTTGGGACTACGGAGAAAGATGTTTGTGATAGCATTGCAGGTTGTTTAAACTAAGGCTGCTATTTGCAACACTCATCTGCTGAGGAAACACAAGCATACTTTAGACAGCAGAGTTAAATCAAGAGTAAATCTGCGAGGCACATGTAGCTTTACTTTCCACTTATGCATATACTACAAAAACTTAAAAGTAATTGCTATTCCAAAAAATAATTGAAATTTAACCCTAGACATTATCAGGTGTCAATGGATCGGGGTTGGGATGCTTTTGTGTGGCTCAGATTTGGTGTATTAATCTTGTATACTTGTTATCAGGGCGCCTGCTACGGGAAAATCCAAATTGACTATGATTAAGAAAGAAATTATTCAATTTCAGTCATCCTCAGATGTTCCATGGGTTAGATGACCAAGTAAAGGTACATTTAATCACCAGATATATAGAATGGCATACATGCAAATTGCAGAATGCTGCTCAAGACGAAACAAACACTTCTCATAACCCGCAAAGGCAATTAAAGCATAGACCAATACCACCTGAAAATGCACGTAAAGTTTCTGTAGAGCCTAATCAATGGAAAACTACATTAGTATAATTAGAGAATGCAGAGATGAGCTGTTTATTTCCTAGCAATCTTAAAGATCGAATTTTAGATAATGAAACAGCAGAGTTATCAGAAACACCAGTCACTTAGTGAACATTTGGACATAAAAGTACACCCCACTGTATGAAAGACTATACTTGACTTGCAGAATCTGGAAAAAGTGCACATAAAGCAGGCGATGGTGGCCGCATGACCACAGAATTCCTGCAAAGACAATCAAATCTCTCCACAGTGACTTCAATGCTTCAAAACATTGCTCAAATATAGAAAACAATTAGAGCATATAATAACAAATTATCACTACTGATGTTTACAACAAACGTATAAAGCATTGGAAAGAAAGTATAAAGCTAACAGCAAAAATCCAATATTCTCTTGTGGGAGAAGCAAGAGGACAAATTTGAAGGAACTAATAAATGACTTCACATTTAATATCACTTTTGAAGCATGTTAGGGTAAGAATCATTTATGTAAAAATTCAGTAACATCACTGATCATTTATATAAAAGAATATAACAACATAGCTTCAAACTACAGCTTATGTGAAATACATCCACATCTTAGCATAATCAAAATGATGCAGTCCAAATCGTCACCACACTGTATTGAATATTGGAATTATAGTAGAATCCAATGCAATGAATGTTTAAACAATACCAAAAAGAACAGAAAAGCCTAGTATCTCTAAACAACTCATCACTTTAGAGGTAGCTTTCTTCTTACCAACATTTTCTTATTACATAAAGCATCATCATTTAAATCACAACAGAAAAACAAAGCAGTCAAACCCACAGCCAATATCCAAATTCATGTCCCCATTCAGGAATTTGACATGCAAAAAAACCAATAAAAGAAAACTAGAAAATTCACTACTAGACAAAAATTATTCAACCAAAACATCAAATACATCAGATATCGTCAAAGTTTCATGCTGTGATGCTAAAAAAAAAAACAAAACAAAACAATAAAATAAATAAAATAACAGTGGAATTTCTCACCTTCATGTAGCCCAAAAAACTTCAAATATACTAATCAGACCGAGTAGCGAACCTCTCAACCTTCTTATCATTCAAATTAAGACCAACCATAGCCTCACCAAGACCACAGCTAACTTCAGCAAGCACGTCCGGGTCACTATAATGAGTGACAGCCTGAACAATTGCCCGAGCACGTTTAGCGGGGTCACCGCTTTTAAAAACCCCAGACCCCACAAACACTCCATCACAGCCCAACTGCATCATCAACGCCGCATCCGCCGGAGTCGCGACTCCTCCGGCGGCAAAGTGCACCACTGGCAACCTTCCCAGTTGCTTCGTCTGCATAACCAAATCGTATGGAGACTGAATTTTCTTAGCGAAGCTGAAAACCTCATCGTCATCCATGTTCCTAAGAACCCTAATGTCTCCCATCACGGACCTGACGTGCCTCACGGCTTCGATAATGTTACCGGTCCCAGCTTCACCTTTGGTTCGAATCATAGCAGCTCCTTCTCGGATTCTTCGAAGCGCTTCCCCCAAATTCCGACACCCGCAAACGAAGGGAATCCGAAAATTATGTTTGTTAATATGGTTTTCTTCGTCCGCCGGGGTGAGAACTTCGCTCTCGTCAACATAATCGATGCCAATGGCTTCAAGGATCTGGGCTTCAACGAAATGGCCAATACGGGCCTTGGCCATGACGGGGATAGTAACGGCTTGCTTAATTTCTTTGATGAGTTGTGGGTCACTCATTCGAGCCACGCCACCTTGGGCTCGGATATCAGCAGGGACTCGTTCGAGAGCCATGACGGCGCAGGCTCCGGCTTCTTCAGCAATACGAGCCTGTTCAGGAGTGACGACGTCCATTATGACCCCGCCTCGAAGCATTTGGGCAAGACCAACTTTCACAGAGAAAGGAGATTTGTGGGTTTCCGTTATTGCCCCATTTCCATAAACTGCAACCACCCCGGTTCCTGCCATAGCACCCCCCCCCCCCCCAAAAAAAAAAAAAAGCCACAGAGAAATAAAGCGGAAGAGGATTTTTTCTTTGTAAACGAAAAGAAACAAAAAAGCGAGAGATTCTGAAGATATTGATGGGAGAGAAAAGGTGAAGCATTGAAAGTGGCGAGAGATAGGCTTAAGTAGGGGAAGCGTTTTGAAAGGTTCTTGGTTGGAGGAGTCGAGGAGAGTTGCGGTGTGGAATAGTTCACGTGCAGTCGAAGTGATTGAAAAAATGTCTTTTATCGGACGGTGGATAAAGAGGTTTCAAGGAATTTAAAAGGAGATTTAGGTATTGTGTATGATAGGATTGGAGGCCACGAAATCTTAGTATTCGTGCACACGTGGCAAGTCAGGATTCCATTCATTCGATGACAAAAGTTGCAGTTTGATTATTTTAAGCTCTTAATAGCACGTATATATAATTAAATATATTTTTATTGTAAAGGAGGTTGAGAACTTGAGATAAATATTAATTTTAAAAATGATTATATAAATAAATTATGTAATTATTTTTTCTCTTATAAAATGAAATTCTTGAATCATTTTTGTGGGAGTATTTTGAATAAATTAGTCAACTTAGTTCAGTGAATCTGTGGACCAATTACTTGTTTTTTTATTGTATTATTATTATTAAGACTAAATTTATGACTATATTATGTCATTATTATTATAATTATGCCACCATGGTCTAAAAAAGGAACTGGTGGCCCGAAGACGGGGATAAATAAATTATGAATAGGTTTTGCTTTGTTTTTCTAAATACAGGGGATATCAAGAGGCTGCGGGGGAGGCAGTAAAGGCTGCCGCTCGTTTCCAATCTATGCCCATATTATTTTCATCCCCACGTTCTAAAGTTGGCGAAGGAAAGGAAAGCGTCTTCAAGTTGTCTTCTTCTTCTTTTTCCAAATCGTGAATTGAATGAAAACTTGATAGTTGTCGCTATGCTTTTGACTATCTTACAACCCCACCAGTACATTTCCTCCGGCAAGTAGAAGCAAAATCTTTGTTCTCCCTCTGTCATACTGTACGTTAATGAAGAAAATGCTAATCTACAGTCATCTTTATTTTTAATTTATTAATATGTTATGTTTTATTATAATTCAGCACAATTTGACCAAAAGCATGCTCGGACATCAGAAAGATTTTAAAAGATACTATGAGATGGCTGAAAGAAAGATTAATGAAGGATACAAGGTACACTGTCTCAATTTAAAAGAAACGCAAAAATCTTACAGTCGTTGCTGCCCCTTAAAATAACAATCATCCATGTGATCCTTTGACTACTTGTACTCCGACATTATGTACCAATGAGAGTGGTAAGTGCATGGGGAAGGCCACCCAGACTAAGGGAAACAAAATGCCTGGCTGGCTCAATCATTCCTCCTTAAAAGATTGTGCTGATAACCCATTCAGAGAGTCATTTAGTACTTGAGTAAGGCATCCGTCACCGGCAGCTGCTCATCAAAAACCTACTGCAACTCATTGAAGCAAGCTCTGAAAGTGCGCATATTACTTATACTGTGAAAATCTTCCTCACTTTTCTCATGTTCCGATGGCAAATAGGGCAAGTTCCAGCAGCCTCTGCTATTCTGCAAATGATTGATTGCAACAAATGTCAATTAAGAAAATTTTGCATTGGCATCCAAAATAGTATAGGTCTTTGACCATAGAAATTTCAAGTTCGCTAAATCTGGGAACCATTGAGGGTAACCATCAGCATGCCATTGCAAATTTGGTGCAGGGTTAACAATGAAGTAGATTCTTTCCAAAGCAACCTTCCATGTAAAAAAGTTAGGATGCAAAGTACTTACCTAGTTCCACATGCGTAGCAAGCAACACAGTGCCCACATGGAAGGAAGAAGCAGTCCCTTGGAGCATCAAAGCAAATCGCACAAAGTCTCCGGGTATTGTTACTGTTTTCATCATCTTTGATCGATGTCCCTTCAAGAGAACCTGCTATAAAGTCTTCAAGATCTGCCTCATCACTTGAGACAGAATCATAAGATGAACCCCAACTTGAGATATCATCATCTTTGTGTAAAAGAAGAGGGGCTCTTGCGGAATCAATCTCCTGATAACGAACACTTGTTTCATCTTCACGAGTAAACTGAAACTTGTTTAAGAAGTTGAAGACAACCAGCATGATCGCAGTCATTCCACCTTTCAGAAGAAAAAATTGAATTTAAAATGTAAACATGATACATCTGTAAAGGTTGTAAAAGAGTAATAAAAAAGAAAGTACTTTACCAATACCAACAATATATGTAATCCATCTCGGTCCATATGACAATCTGACAGGCCAGTCATCTGCAGATGTAGTCTGAAGCGGCCAAAGAAAGGAAGTAAACAGAATGTAAATGAGAATCTAGAAAATATTCAGCATCAAAGGAAGCATTAGAGCATATATTTATCATGCCTACGCTCCAAAGACACATGAATCTATGATTTTAATGACATGGGAATGTCTCTGTAATAGCCTTCCAAACCACAATCTCGAAAAACATGGAGATTAGGATCTTGGGTTTAAAAGAAAGTAAGATTACCTGTTCTAGACCAGGAGAAGTCAAGACGACTGAATTTCCTAGAGGAAACAAGATACTCAAGCTACATAGCCCATTAGTGAAGGTGCACCCGTAGTAAGCTTCAGTTGTATTGTAAATGAAAGCCCTGACTGTAAAGTTCAATTCCACCTGTTCAATGTTAAGATCAACCCAATTTTCATGTGAAAAAGATGAAACCAAAGAAGGGAAGGGAGGGTAGAGGAACAGCATCTGATAGAATGACAGTCTCTATTGTCACCTAAAGCATCTACTTGAACCCATATCAATTCTATACAGCTGCCACTCAAATCTGACTTAGCAGGCTCAGAGTTTTTTGGAACAAATATTTTGAAGTCATGCACATAAATAATTGTTAGGAAAATGAATCCATGCCCACTTCATCCATCTGATATTCATGTAAACTTTTAAATAATAAATTGAGCAACCAACATTGATTTTCTTATGTTTCAAGTCCTTGTTATTAAAGAATACACTACCTTGGTTACTTTCATCATACAAATAACAATCCATGTTATAGTTTCCTGTACTTCTATAACTGCAGCCTTGCAGAAATAAACACCTTCATCTCAAAGTTTTACTTGTAATTGCTGTACTTATGACATATCCCACCACATTTACAAGGCAGCATTGCTTTAATGGATTAGAGAAGCCTTCTCTAAGTAAGTTGATAATATTTGTCAATCAGATCTTAATATCAATTTCTGACAAACTAAAAGGCAGAAGCAACATGAAATGTTTCTATTTCTGAAGTTGGTAAAAAAGGCAATTAAGATCTCAATATCTCAAATATTTTAGCAGCACTCCAGCAAAAGAGCCAAATCAACAAGCCAAGATAGGTAGGTCAAATTTTCACAATTACCTCCACATCCTCTGAGTTCAAATTACCCAGTGCAATATAGTAACTTGAAGATCTATATATATCCTGCTCAATCATACCGCTTCCTACCAAAATGTAATGTCAAAGTCAGTATAAAAACATTTTTTAGGGTAAAAACATTACTTTTGGACTTCAATCTCACCATGAACAATGTTCCATGATAAAGTTGTGTTAGGATATGTTGGTTCCTCAAGCCATTGAGAAAGGCCCTCACTACCTGCAATGTAACAAAAAACTTGAAGCATTAAATTCCCAAGATTCTATTACTTAATTTTACACCATTTTCACACACACTTTATGGAAATAATCCCTTTGGAAACACTTTCTCAGAAAGCTTTTACTGTTTTAGGATACCTTGAGCAATTATAAGGAAAACAGAGGAGGCAACAGAGTTCACATTATATGAAATATTAACTTGAGATCCCTTGTTCAGATAATGAATCCACTCCTGGATAACATCAGAAAATTGGAACTCAAAAACAAATTTAGAACCAAATTATTCAAGCCAAAAACAAAACAAAATTAAACTTGCCTTGTGAGAATCAGCCGGAACAGTGGCGGTATAAGTTTCAGACCAGGTAGTCACTACATCAAGAGATGGAGACTTATAAAATCCATATAGTTTAAGCCCTGGCTTGATATCATCCATCTCCTCCACCTAATACAATGCCAAATAAGCTATAAAACCAAAAAAAAACCAAGCATAAAAGAATCAAAAACTAGAAAAAGAAAATAAAAGGCAAATCACCTTTACACTCTGAACAAAAACAGGATTTGGTTGAATAAGAAGGGAACAATTTGGACCGAGTCGTATATTCTCTGCCGCGTAAACCCCCAAAATTAAAGTCATCGAAACTGTTCCATCCAAGAAATTAAACTAAAAATATTCAACATCAAGAACAAAAGGCTTTTCTTTTGAAATAGTAGTAATTGTAAAGAGCGAGAGATTCACGAGAAAGGTAAAGGGAAAAAGGAAAAAGATACGAACCAAAAAACCAAAAAGTGAGAAGCACGATGATACAAGACCACGTGTCCTCTCTAATCACCGTTGATGAATCACCGAAAGCGGATGAGTTTCCTCTATAAGAAACAAGGCCAAGGTGCTGATTCTCTAGCTCTGGACTATGAAAATGGTGCTGGCGTGGATACTCATGATCTTGCTCCTCTTGGTCGTGCACATGTGAAGAAGTACCCGAAGACGACGCCGCAGCGCCTGAATCCGCCCTGTAAGACGAAGATGAAGAGGCGAAGGCGAAGGCGGAGGCGGAAGGCGAACTCCAATTTGGCTCTGCCATTCTAGATTGTAGAATTTGAAAGAAAAAAATATAGTTAAAATTTTTGAGAAATTGAAAAGAAAACCCTAGCGCTAGGGATTAAGGAAATGGTTACCTTGAAAAATTGGGGGAGAAGAAGAGTCCATGAAGGAGTGTGGAAGAATTTGAACCTGAACAGGGAGCTCACCAATCAGTCTTTCCTCTTCTTGCTCTGACCGGTAGTTCTTGGAAGAGGGTGCGGTTGACGGGTGTTATCCACCATCATCGTATTTATAAGTTGACAAACGATACTGGGAAGCTCCCACGTGGCGAGAGATCATTGGATGATCGAAAGTCAACCAACGTTGCTTTCCTTGTCGCTGATTAGTGTTGTATGAAATTGGCGTGCTACTGTTCTCTCCAAACATAGAGAAGCCTGCCCGTCCAACAACAAGTGGAAGTAACCAAATCAAACTAAACTCTGCTAGCCAAGAGTGGAGGAGAGCCTCTCTAACAAAGTGAAAAGTACCGTCCAAAGTCGCAACCAACAAGCGGAAGCCAGTGAACAAAACTAAATCTGTTGCTTGGTTAAAGGACGCTGGTGATATAAAGGAAGGAAGGGTTAGATTTGATTAAAGGAAGAGGAGATTGATTTTTGCAATATTCAAATGAAGGTAGTAAAACGCAATGATATTAAATCTTTATTGAGACATGGATGGAAGGCTATCGGATTATGCAAGAGAGGATGGTGCAAGATACGGATGAAATTCCTCAAGTTTTAAACTTTTTAGCTTCCTGTCTTCAACAAGTGAAGAGTTATCAAAAGTAAAAATATGTAATTGTAATATCCATCACAATCCTTGGTTGCTTTCATTAATCAATGGCAGGCAGAGTATTCTGTTCTTCTTAATTCCTCCCAAATGAAAAATCCTTGTTTGATTGATTGATTGCATATTTAATTTGCTCTAATTCTTTCTACTTTTTTGCTTTAAATTTTTATCTTTTCCCATCTCAATCACTGGATAATCACCCATTCACCAAGAAAAATCCAATCTTTTCCAGAATAGCAATTAACGGATTTAGCTTATTCAGAGGGAGAGCCACTCTATTATTAATAGCAAATCTTTTAAAACTTTGCATCATTATAGTCGATATGACCTTTTTACTAAATATTTGCCAAAAATTGTTCACAAATTATACTAGTTGGAACAATTTAGTTTAAGGTTAAATACACATTTATCTGTTTTGTATTATTTAATATTTAAAAAAAAATTATAATTGAATATTTAAATGTTAATTTTATAAGACAAGTTATTCCAATAACTACTACTAATAGAAAAAAATTTAGGTTACTTTTTTTTAATCAATAAAAAGACGTCCATTGGAATAAGATGTTATGTCATATATTACATATAATTAGCATGTCAATAAGTGAATCTAACGTCACGCTAAAAAGAATAATAAAAATTTGGAAAATATAAAAAAAAAAAGTCGAGAAAAGGGAAAAAAATAGAAAGAGTAAAGCAAATTAGAAGGAGCATTTTTAGGAATATCAATAGGTAGAGTAAAATATTTTTTATTTTTATTATATTTTTTTTGTACTCATATTTAATAAATATTTTAAATTTAAATTTATTTTTATTTTTACGAGTATTTAATGAGCATAAATAATTTTCATACTTATAACTTAAAAAAATAAAAACTAAAATTTTGTTTTTTTTTTTGTATATTTAGATAACTTTTTTATAAATATATAATAATATATTTTTTTCAATAAAAATATATTAATTTTAATTAATTTAACATAATAATTTGTATTATTATTTAATAAAATTTCATATATTAAACATATATATATATAAGATACAATATTATATTATCCATCATCATTTATATATTTAATAAAAATTTAAAATCATAACTATTTATATTCTCGTACCTATAATATAATATCTCTATTTATTTTTATTTAAATAAAAAATTAAATTATTCACTAAATATACTTAAAATTAACATCACTGTCATCTCTTTTTGGTCCCAGTCGAGCCCAAATGCCAACTAATTCAACATATTTATTTTTTATCGTAAAAAAAATTGACTTTCAACAATCTTTAGAGTTAATCACTGATAAATTAAAAAAATACTAAAATATTAAAAAAAAATTAAATTATTTTATTTTTTAAAAAATAAAATTTGTTTTTTTGTATTTAAATAAATTTTTTTATTTTAAATGAAAATTTATTTTATTTTATTTAAAATATAATTAAACATTTCAAATTTGAATGCCTTATTTACATGTAAAAATTTTAAACGAAACAGCTATTTTTTTGCTTAGGACAGGCTGGTTCGATGCTCACAGCCCACGGGGCTACATATGATTGTACATTAAACCCCATCCCCCACTCTCCCCCTAACAAATTCTAACTCGACATTAAAAATTTACCAAGGACAAAAATGTCATTCAGCTCCCAACACGTAAAAGTAACCCAAAATTCAGCAAACCGCCTCACCGGAGCCCAACCTCCCCCAAAAACACACACAGAAGAAAAATCAGATCCATAAAAATCCCAAATTAAAATTCGAAGGGTTTGAAGGAAAACCCTAATTTCTCCCTTCTAAATCTCTCGATATCGATTCGATTTGATTCGAATCGAGAGCTTTAAACGATGGGAGATTTCAACCTTGCTCTGGTAATCGTCGCTATAGTCGTATGTGTCCTCGTGTTCCTCGTCAATGTCTACCTCCTCGTCAATTACCAGCACCCGGACGACGCAAACCAAGCATATTTCCCCAAATTCGTCGTCGTTTTTGGGCTCTCCGTTGCCGCCATTTCCATACTCATGTTACCGGCTGATGTCGCCAATCGTCAGGCCTGTAGGCACTCGATATACAATGGCGCGTGTAACCTCACCTTGCCTATGAAAGATCTCTGGCTCGCCATTTATATCATCGATGCCGTGCTCGTTTTCTTCGTAATCCCCTTCGCCATGTTTTACTACGAAGGAGACCAGGACAAGTATGTGTTTGTAGGACTTTGATTGTTAAAACCCACTGATTATATTGATCCATTCCTCTATTTTTTATTTTATTTCATCTATTTGGTTTTGGTTGCAGGAGTGTTGGCAAACGGATAAAAAGCGCGTTGCTTTGGGTGATGACAACAGCAATTGTTTGTGCTCTTCTGCTTGGCATTCTATATGGTTGGTTTTCCTTTTTTCCCCTTTTTTAGTTTTAATTTCATTAGCATTTTCTCTTTAAACAATAGTCTTTTCCGTGCCATAGAAGTATAGATAATTGGAATATTTAGTTAATGCTTTGAATACTGATTTTGATTTAAGATGCTTTTACAATTAGAAGATCTTAGCAAATGTTTTGAACATACACGTATGCTAGAACTGATACTTGCATTGAGTGGATAACTAAGCAATTCTTTTCGCATTTGTTGAATGTGAGTGTTTGTGTATTTTCTGGTTTTATTGCATACCATCGATTTTATCCTTTTTTATGGTATTTCAGGACTGGTTGGGAAGGTGGATTTTACGGTTAGGCACCTATCTTCTGCCACCATTATTTTCCCAAGTGCTTGGGATTTCTCTAGCAGCCAGCCATGTATTGGTGGAAGTGGCGCACGTGCGGTTAGTAATTAATTTTCCAATTTAATATGCAATGTTATCCTTTCTGTAGGTTAGACTGTGCTTTACCTCATTATTTTACCTTCTCTTTCCTTATTTTCTCTTTGGTTACAGTGCTCCGCATATACTGCAAATGCTTCATCTGAGAAAACGTGGACTATGCGCACTACCTTTCCAGAATATGTTGTTGCTCTTGCTACGATTGTTGGATCTGTTCTTTTCTCGGTATTGAATCTCTTGCAAATTTTAATATTATATTTCTGATTCGAATCTGGATAGCAATTCTAGTTTGTAAATATTGACCTTTTTTGCTAGAATATATTGCTTACATCTTGAAATTTCTTGTCAGATATTTGGTGGTGTAGGTATTGCTTGTCTGCCTCTTGGGCTTATCGCATCATTTATCCGCCGCCCAAAGGCTGTTATCACTCGCTCACAGTATATAAAGGTGCTTTTTTTATTGCTTATGATGCTCCCATATGAAACCATGTACTGGAGTTGGAAGATAGTATTGATATTTGCTCATTGTGTTGTAATTGCTCATGGTCATAGTTGTAATTGATATTGTAGGAAGCAACCGAACTTGGTAAAAAGGCAAGAGATCTGAAGAAAGCAGCTGATGCACTTCATCAGGAAGAAAGAAGTGGTTCTAAGGGTAGAAAGTGGCGTAAAAATGTTAAGTCTGTGGAAAAGGTATGTGTGAAGTCCTAAATTTGCATTTTTCTTTGAATTCTATTTTGTGCCATTCTATATGATGATAAATTTGTTGACCAAGCTAGCTTTAGTTATGAGTTTTAGATCCCTCTAGTTTTAATGTCATCTGTTTATTAAGCTTTCCTATTGCGTTTAAAGATCAAATTATTTTAATCATTTGGCTTGTGTTATAATCTTTATGATTCTAAAGACTTGTTATATTTTGACCATGGTATTAACTTGTGACAGTTTCTTTAGCAGTTTCTTAGTAAAGAGTTGAAGTTAATCTAGTGAGAGTGTGTTTTTTTTATAAAATAGCTGTCAAATGGTGTTTTCACATATTTACCATTGTTCATTATTTGTGGCTATTGAAATTGCTACATTCTTGATTAACTCTGCAGGAGTTGCTTCAGCTGGAAGAGGATGTAAAGCTTTTGGAAGAGATGTACCCTCAAGGAGAAAAAGTATCTAATTTGACTTGCTGTTCCCCCGCCTTTTTTTCCGGCTTCTGGTATTAACTCCCTTGCCATGACATTTCAGGCTGAAACATCCTGGGCGATGACGGTTCTTGGATACTTGGCAAAACTTGTGTTAGGAATCCTAGGGTAAGTTCTTAGTTCATGTATTTTAGTGCCAGTAGATGGTTTTTTATGTCCAGAGCTGTATTTTTTTTTTTTTTTGGGTGAATTAGCAATTGAATTTGGATTTTTTTCGTGCACCCTTTGGAAGACAGTGCTTAATGTAAATAAGCTATAATGATGGGAACTTTTAAAGTGTGAGCCTTATATAATCAGCAAACAGAAATAAATTGTTGTTATCCTTAGAATAAAGGATCACAATAAACTCTAGTCTCTTTGCACCCGCCAAACTGATAAGGTTGCCCCCTGACTTGCTGAAAGGAGTTATCTAACCTGCAATTCGTCCTGCACTTCGTTAGGTTGATTGTTTCAGTGGCTTGGGTTGCTCATATTGTCATATACCTTCTGATTGATCCACCACTTTCTCCCTTCCTGAATGAGGTTTTCATCAAACTGGATGATATATGGGGTAATTCCTTAACCATTTTCAAATTTACTTCTTTCTATTTTGCTGCTTTTAAAATTTGTGGAGATCTATATTTTCTATTTTGTCAGGTCTTGTGGGTACTGCAGCATTTGCATTCTTTTGCTTCTACCTTCTTCTCGCTGTGATTGCTGGTGCAATGATGCTTGGTCTGAGATTAGTTTTCATTACGATTCATCCTATGAAGTAATGGATCTCATGTTGATGGCATTTTGTTTAATTTTTTATTGTTGAGAAAATCACTAGCTGGCTGACATGTTTAATGGACTTTTTCATAGGTGGGGAGCCACTCTAATGAACTCTTTTCTGTTCAATGTGGCACTTATTCTTTTATGCTCAATAAGGTTGGTGACTTAGCTCATTTACTCATTCTTGATTTTATGTTATCTCAAGGTGTCTTATATTAGAAGATTGTTGAATTGTTATTTCTAGGTTTGTTCTTGGTTGTTGAAGATTGTAATAGGGAATTACATGTTATTCAATGAGAACCTAATTTTCAACAGTATTTGACGTGAATATTGTCGTTTTCAGTGTCATTCAGTTCTGTGCCACAGCATTTGGGTACTATGCTCAAGCAACTGCTGCCCAGGAAATATTCGGCCACACGTTGCAGTCTCTTCGAGGAATTAAATATTTGTACAAGTGAGTTTATACTGTTTGAATTCTCAGTTTTACCCTGATCAGGCATGTATGTGTTCTACTGATGTTGTTGGGCATATTGGCATTACAGGTATAATGTATTTCAAATTGCATTCGTTGTTCTAGCGGGATTGACCTTCGTGTATTATATTGCCTTTGTAAGTTTTCAGCTGTCTTTACTTTTCTCTCTTTTCTTTCGTTCTTTTGAGTAATTGCCTGTGCGTACTTTCTGGATTCCAAGGTCTAATTCTATTCTTGTTTTGGACATTTCAGGGATGGAAAAGAAAAAAACCTAGTGGCAGGTTCCAACTTTCCTCTTAAGAATGTTTTCCCTAGAAGCTGATGCACTCCCTTGAGCAATTGGAATTCTCTGTTTTATCATCCCTTTTGGAGTGTGTTTCATACGCTTGGATTGCATACGGCCTGATTTTGAATGTGGAAGGTTTAGAGGGATAGGCTAACGCCATCCGAGTTAAATTGGTTGCCTGAAGTAGGAGCATATTGAGTGCTTCAACTGCTTTTTCATTATCTTGCTTTGCTGGCCTTTTGTAAGTATTACTACTATTTTTTTGTTTGATTAATGTTACACATTTGGCTTGGGCATGTAATTGAGGTATCATTGACAGTTGACACGGGGGAACCGGGATTGTAGAACTCGTTTTGATGTAATATAAGTATCTAACCTTCAGAGAACAGAAAAATTAATGAGCAATTTATGCTTTTGTTTGTTGGAATTGTACTAAATTTATGCTTTGTTGTTTCCATAAATATTTCAGATTGTTGATTGGTAACAACCAATTGTTTGGTCATCCTTCCTGGCTTCAATTTTTCGTGTTTCTGTTATTAATTTTTCATTTTACAATAATGCACGGCTTGGGTGCCTTTTCTACTGAATTGATAAAATATGCAAAGTAACAAACAAAAGCCCATTCCTTTCGTCAAGCCATCCGTAAATTTTTTAATTTTTAAATAGCTATTAGGAATTTAATTTACACTAATATATATAATATATATATATATATCTTTTTTGGGTATCCATGAAATTACTTTCCAATCAAATTCATACTAATATATATAAACCCCACCAAAATGTAAACGCAATATTGAAGAAGGAAAAAAAAAAGAGTAGAAAAACAGAGATATATACCATGCGAGCATATACGCCAGCAAGAATTGCACCCCAACCTTCGTGGCTATAGCAGAACTGAAGGATGGAAGATCCAAAAAGAACGAAGAGAGGTATGCCTGGAACAATCATGTCTCTTATAAGCTTTGAGGTTTCTCCTTGCTTCTGTTCAGTTCAGACGAAACAAAACTCACTTTTTATGTTTCTCCCATTCTGGCTTTGCAGTTATCTCACTTCTTCTTTGAATGGAACAGACTTCAGCGGCAGCCGGCGCTGGTTAGTATTCAACTATTATATATAATACACCTGCAAAACCATTGCAGTTGTTTTTTAATGAGTGATTCCAATATCCAAACAGAAAAGAGACCCAACTAAGCCCGCACATGCCAGCAATATTTTGGGCTCACTTGCATCTGGCCCGTATAAGGATATCTGAGCCCGAACAAGCCTGTAATCTATCGGGCTGATACACTGACCCTGTTGGCCTACAAAGAGCGTAGTTTTTTAGCTGAATGACTTATGTGTTGCCCGAAAAAGACCGTGTAAGAAAGCTTGGGCCCCAATGAAACGAAGAAGAAGAAAACCCAAGTGAGTGTCGGCCTTTAATTAGCTCTTGGTCTTCGTTTTGGCTGTGAACTTCGGCTTTTGCAATGTTGAGCTAGCTACAATGGAAAACAAAAAAGAATGGACATAGCTCTCTTCTCTCCACTTCACTTTTCGCTGATGATGAAGAAGTCTCTGGTGGTATTCTTTCTTTTTTTTTTTATATTTACTTCTATTTCACTTTACTTGGATGGTTTTACGAAAAAAACTCTTCATCCTTTTTCTCTTTGCAGATGAGGAAAAAACAGAGGACCATCTGACCTATGTGGAGAGGAGGCACCAGTTTCCTGGCATTGTAAGTCTCTTCTTTTAGAATATATTTATTACCCATTACGTAGATTTGCTTTAGCTAATGGAATTTTAACTGCATATGTTCTTCCAGTATTATTTTGCATTCTTACTTATGTTTTCATCCATTTCAAGATGCCCGTGAATTGTAGAAAAAACCTTACTTTCATTCAAACAAAGTAGAAGAGCATTGGTAGTTCATGGAAAAGTTCTTAGCTTATGAAAAAATTCTAACTTTTGTGTAGTATTAGTATGCTTTCTGACAACAATGCTTATGGTGGGGAAGAGATAATTGAACTGATTCTTATTTGAGTACCTGCCGAGCTGTTTTCCAATAAGACTATAATAGCATTGATGTCAGCGCTTGGATAAAAGTGGTATGAAAATGGTTCTGAAAAATGGGATTTTCTCGTTGGTCAATTTTCATCAAATAAGAAATTTTATGAGTGCGGACAGATCTATTTTTTAGTAGAAGGCTCTAATTGAGATGGTTTACATATAGAGTTGTCACATACCATGTAGTGTGATAAGTAGTGGGAGAAGAAAGTGTAACTCTGAACTTACCGATAAGCAAATTAGATGAAAATTTGAAGTGAGCTTTGTAGAGCTTAAGTGTAATAGTTTCTTGAATTCCTTATATCATATTGGGATTTATTCAGCTTACTACTGCCATGGTTGATTCTTTGATACCTCATCAGAATGCTGTAGCTCTTAGAGTTAGTGGGAATCATATTTGACCATAGCAATTTAGTGAAAACCTTATTCTGGTTTCTGAAAACTTGTTTTGATAATTCACCTAGTTCACCTGTTTTTTGCCTTTATATAAGTATATGCATTTTGGCTTGTGTGCAGGAGTTGCTTATTTGAGAATTTTCCTTTCACCAGTTGAATGCTAATTTACTCTGGCCAGGTACATTTGCATTTGCAGAATGGCTAGTTCAGCATCAATCATGCGTAGAAGGTCGGCATTACCTTGAACTGGGCAGGTAATCCCTTTAGCTACAGGAGAAATGAGGTTGTATGATTATCTGGGAATGCACTCTTATTTTGGGTGTTTACTCTCAATCGTAGTGCATCTATCTAGTCTGCATTTGTTTATTTAATAAACAGTGTTGCACTTGGAGGGCTGATTATCATTAGCAATAGTTGAATATTGAGCAGTGCCTCTAACCAGTGGTTGAGTGTGTCTGCACGTTGCACTTCTGAGACATGATTTCTGGATGGTTTAAGCTTTGAGGCATGGCCTTAGCTGCAAATTTATTCACCTTTTAGAATTATGAACTCAAGTTACTTTTTCTTTGAACTTGTAAGTCCATTATTTTTTTGTACTGCTTCCTTAGCACCCCAAAATCTGACCTTTAATTTGTTTTGTTTTTAAGAATCACTTGATATAATTCTGCATTCGTACTTTTTTTTTCGATAGTTTTCTTGATGGTCTTGATTCTTTAATTATTGGCAGTGGGACTGGAGCTTTGGCTATTTTTCTCCAAAAATCATTTAATCTTGACATAACAACATCAGACTATGATGATCAGGAAATTGAAGAGAACATAGCACATAACTGCCAGGCAAATGGAATTACGCCTGTCCTTCCTCACATAAAGCGTGAGCTCCCTTAAGTCTTTGTGGTATATGAAGCATTGATTTCAAGGACTATTGTTAAATTAAAATGTCAATGTTTTTCAGATACATGGGGAGATACCTTTCCAACTGCTGATCCAGATTGGGACCTGATCATAGCAAGTGATATCCTATTGTGTGAGCTTCTTGTTATTTAGTGTCTGCCATTTACATTATGTGCTTGAAGAAAGGCAGATACATAAATGAATTGATGGTTTTACTGTTTTCTGTTTCTTTTGTTGTACATTAATCTTTGCATTCATTTGAATCATGGGAAAAAAAAAAAAAAACTTGGCACTCTAGAGTAGAATTTTGAGAACTACCATCTTTGAATGGTGTGGACCCTGAAGTGATAAACCAGAAAATCAAGAAGCTTGGAAACAAGCTTCTTGCTGTGCTGATATCTTTGGAAATCCACTATTACGTGTAAATGGTTATGAAAGCTGCAGATGCTATTATCATCTTGGCCAAAAGGGGCTGTATTTGATAATATCTGAGGAATAACGTCAAACTTTGGAGTGGATTAGAGTAATTTTCTGTTTTGGATTTAATTCTGCTTCCTTAGGAATCTTACCAAAAGCTTTGGTGCCCTGTGAATTGATTTATTCTATGGGATATAAATTAAAATTAAAATTTTACATTCTGCGATTAAATCTCCTATTTCTTACCAGGGAATGCTTAAACATGTTTATATCCATTTCTTCGGTTCTTGCAGATGTCAAACAGTACCATAACTTGATAAAGTCTCTCTCTTATCTCCTAAAATCTTACAAGCCAAAAGATGACAAAGTTGTTCCTCCTGTGGGAAATGACCAGAGTAGTGGTAACGTGCTAATTATGAACTTTTTTATAGATTTTTTGGAGAAAGTTGAAACTACCTTACAAAACGGATAGAATCTGTTATGGGTCATTTATTGCTGATTTATCTCTACCGCTTGCTGCGAGGAATGTGCGTGGGGTTGCCTGCACCAGCATTTCTAATGAGCTGGAGACGCAGAATTGGAAAGGAGGATGAATCACTCTTCTTTGCTGGTTGTGAGAATGCTGGTCTCGAAGTAAAGCACATTAGATCCCGCGTGTATTGCATCAAATCAAGAGAAAATCTTGTCATTACACCCCCCGATAGAGTTGATGATTGAAGCTGGTATACAATTATAAGAATGGCAGTTTCTAATTTGTGGGTCTAAATCAGGACCATGGTCACTTTAATTAAAGTGGCAAGCTAGAATGGCTCTTGTAAAAGTTTGGAATGGAAGATGTTGATGTTTCTCTTTAGACAATACATACAAATTCTCATATCCCTTTTATTTATTTCTTTTTTCCTTTTTCAGTTACCTGTGATCTAGAAATAAAAGACTAATTGAGACTACTTTTTTGTACCTTTTGCATTTGCATTTGCATTTGCATTAGAGCTCTAATGGATTTTTTCCTGGAATCCTGTCAAGTCTTCCAGTTCATTTCAGTTGCACTTCTGCTTCTGTTTCCTGTCACTTACATTTGCAATCCAAAACTTTCAATGATGAACTCTTAATTCTCGTTTGAAACATGTATTTTCTGCGTGCTAAAGTTGAGACTTTAAGCATTTAACAGCAAGACCAATATTCCTTGCTAGTCAAACAGGTGCCTAATCATAACATATTGAATTGACAAAGTAACTTTAGAAAGTTCAAAAATCGAGAAGCAACGTAACCAAAATAATGGTGTGAGGCATATCTGCTCGAGTTTTCGCCTTGCCCTTATCAACAAATCTAGAGGAAAGTTCCTGGAAACTGCACTTGCCATCACCCTTCCCTATCATTGATGTATATGTACATCATTTCTGCTGAAAATTATTTCAAATGTTAAACCAACATCACTAGTTTGGCTGCAATAATTTCCCTCTTCCCTTCTTGAAAAAGTAAATGAAATAAATTCATGACATTTTATATATATTTTTAAGGACGAATATCTAGCAAGAAGTTGTTTTTTTGTAAATTATTATGGACTAGTTGATATATACCCAATAATTTGCATGAAACAAAACTACATTTTCAGATGTGATAGAGGAAACTTCCCGGAAGCTGTTCAGGGTTCTATACACATGCTTGTTGGGCTGATCTTTGAGTGAGAAATAACTCTAAAATAAAGGTGGAAATCGAAATGTGTAACGATTTGATTGGAGTGATTGATCAGGAAGGTATCATGGCAAATTAGCAATGGACATGGACAAGCCGAAAGCTAACTTGCAGTGGCAAATATTGATGAAGACAACAAAATTTCAGGCTTTTCCTTCCTGACTTTCTTCCCCTCCCCCCCCCCCACCAACCGATTGGCTCCAGCCCAAACTAAATATTTGGTAGTCAATGATCCGATGATTCCCTAGTAAGAAAAATAATTGATTAAATGTGATTAATGAAGATGACATTGCTTTGAAAACATGGTTTTTTTTTTTTTTTTTCATTTCTGAGGGGTGAATGTAAAGGAAATCTTTCAGAAGTTACTTCACTTCAAATTCTAAAGGAAAAATTATAAGGATCCCTAATCAAAATAGTAGAAGTTAAAAGAAAGGAAATTAAAGAAATGAAATGCAGAAAGGGTAGCTCTCCAAGGTCACTGTCAGCAGTTTTCCACATGGAGAGCTAGCTGCCGCTGGGTGCTTCAATCCCAAAACTAATCTGCAAAGACAATTAAACTCCCATGTATAGTTTGACTAGTCTTTAGCTGAAATCAGCTGAGGCTGATAAAAGATTTTCTGCAAAAGTAGTAAACTATTACTACTGTATACCTACCCCCACCCACCCAATATTTTTTGTTATGAAAAAAAAAAAAAAAACACTCAAATGATTAGTATAAATAAATAAATAAATAAATCAAAAACAAATAATTTTATGTGTTTTTACCTTTGCTTAAGAAAAATGTCCAAGCAATCAAAAAAGCCTTGCCGAGCTAAAGCATTCTCCCTAGAGCATTCTTCAGAGTAAAAAATTTACAAACCTGAGATTGAAAAACTTCACCGTAAGTTTTACATATTGAATTGGGAAATATATATATATAGTCCAGGAAAGGCTTTAGTTCTTAACACTTTTTAACAGGGAAACTTCTGTCCACCTTCTCTAGTTTGACATTTTGCTTCTCGTTGATCCACATATGCTTCTAGTTATAAAGAGTTTTGGTTTTATCCAGTTCTAGAGATGACACTTGTAAAGTGCATATTTGCCTCTATTTACCGGGTTTGAAAGGCAAATTATTTTCTGTCGGGGAACTTATTTTTGGCCTTAGTCAGCTTCACTATGATCAAATTAATTTGCATGAATTAGGAGTTGGAATTCTTTGAAATTACTGTTGCAAGGTAATTATATAGAGTTAGATAATACAATAAAAGCAATAATAAAGTTATAAATACACTTTAGGTCTTTGATATATTCGTACATTTATAATAATCTTTTTATTGATTATTGAAATTCATATTTAAATTAATTCTAAATGTATAGAACATTTAATTCAATTGTAATTACATATAATTGGATTCCAATTTGCTTCTCAAAATAAAAAATTATCAATACTAGTAACTAATAGTTTTTGATATGAATGATTGATTGATTTAGGAGATAAGTGTTTGAAATAATTTTAAAAGATAATGAAATAAAATATGAGCATATATATATATATATATGTTCATATTTTATTCATTATATATGTATATGCTCATATTTTTATATATATATATACCCCTATCCATAACATAACCGTCATTTTTGTACTTTTTTTATTAGGAAGTTTCGAGGAAAGCTCGTGCATATGAGTACGGAAACTGTACGTCTTCTTTTACATTGAAGACGATGGTTTCCAACTTTGCTTTCTCTTCTTCAAAATCCATATAAAAACTTTCGATCGTCATCACACATATCGCAAACAAAGAAAACCGACATTTAACGCTTATGAAAAGCCTAAAAACTATACATTTAACACGTATCGCAAGCAAACTCAACTCAGTTATGTTTGCAAATACCTTCTAAGACAGCAACACGTCGATACGAAGGTACAATTTTTATGTAGTCAGGACAACGTCAAAGCCAGAGAAAATCTTTCGTTTGTACTATTAATTTTTCTGGTTCTGGAAAATCTGGAAGATTTTTTTCATAATCGTTAAACCACTCATGATTCCCTTCATCATTGTTTTTTTATAATATGAGCTTAAAAATTTTGGAGTCGCTTTCATTAATGCACGCAGGGAAGTGCAGTTCGGTTTGTATATAACAGAAGGGGTTATAATTTATGTGGGTTTTGATCAAGTTGCGATGTCTAATTCTATTTCTTTCACAAAATAATATTTAGCTGCATTATAAATTTGATTAATCCTTTTATTTTTCATATTTCCATCTCACTTTTTTGTGACGCTAAGTTCTTTTTTTTTTTAATTCGAGAAAATAAAGATTCAAACTCAATTTTTTAAATAAAGATCATATATTCATCTATACAATTAATATGAAGCATATATATATATATATATTGTAATCACGAAATAATTAAAACATTCCCTTTTTATGATTATATATCCCAAAATTAAAGAATTATTGTATCTTAGCTCACGTTGCTTGCCTTACTTAAAGAAGCTTCCTGGAAGTTGCATTTTCTGATTTTCTCTAATAATTATTTGATACATACCGTAGTATCAAACAGCCATGAGTCTCCTATTTATAACAGTACGTATCTTACTCTCCAACTCATCGAGATAGATTTTGAGACTTGATTGCTTTTGTCACGGTTCTCGATTTTTTCTTTTAGTAGTGTACATTGCCTTATAAGGAAATATTTGGGTTTGAGTGTGGCAAGAAAGATGGCTTCCTTGCAAGAACCATGGCTATTGGAGAAAGGAAACTTGAAGGGGTCCAGCAAGGAGATTCGCCATGGCAGGACTGCGCACAACATGTCGTCCTCTTCATTGCGGAAAAAGTCGGACCTGACGCTTGTTTCCAAGGTTCGATATGGGATGCTTAGGCAGTTCCTGACCAATCTTCAAGAGGTTATTCTAGGGACTAAACTTTCGGTTCTCTTCCCTGCTATTCCACTGGCGGTTGTTGCTGACTGCTATGGGTTTGGAAGAGTGAGTTTCTTTTTCTTGCTTTTTCATTGTTTTGTAAATGTTGCTTTTTAGGGTTTTTTATAAAACAGTGATTGCTGGCAGTGGTGACAATGAATGCAGATTGACCGATCAGAATTGGATTAAATTCAATTTGACTTGATTTTCTGCTTAAACAATTTGATGCTCAATTCTCAGATATAGAAAAGTCATGGAGGAAATATTGGACTGTAAAAAGTTAAACTACCCAAATCTTGATCATGTTTTTTACAGCATCTAAATGTATTCATCAACTTCCATCATTCCAACTATATCATACTTTTTTCTTTGATATATGAGATGTCTTCAACATCTATTTGAATTTCCACAGTTCCACTTAAAACAGTATTTATTGCTGTTTCTTAATCGTATAAGTTAGCTAGTACTAACATTTATGATCTTCCTGTAAAATACAGCCCTGCGTTTTTGCATTGAGTTTACTTGGACTTACACCATTGGCTGAACGAGTCAGCTTTCTCACGGAGTAAGGCGGATTCACATTTGTGCTTCATCGTTAATATCTACAATTGAATTTGACAATTAATTCCAATGTTTTATCCTATCCGTGTACTTGCAGGCAAATCGCTTATTACACTGGTCCAACAGGTAATTAATAATACTCTTATACTGTACTTTACTCAAATTTTCAAGGTCGGGTGATTAAACATCGGTAGTATCAGCTTTATTTTTCTCTTTGATTGCCAACCTTGCTGCTATATTTCTAGTACATTCGACACTACTGGGTCTAAAGCTACCAGGGAATCCCAAGTTAGTGTTCTGAAAGAAACCAAAAACGCAGGAAACACTTGTCCATGCTTTTTCTTATCTTCCATTTGTGAGTGTTTGGTGCAATATCGTTGTAAGATTTAATGACTATTTCAATTTCTTGAAAAGTACATTCTTTTTTCTGCCTGTGTCTTCTACTTAATGGTGATTAATCTTGAAATGGTTAGCAAAAGGAAATTAGGATATATGTTGATTTTTGTGTAATCATCATCATCATTATTATAATCTCTCGACCTTATATACTTTGTTGACCTTAGCTATTTTAGATGACTTGTGTTTTTAAAATAACATTGAATTTAACTACTTTTATGAAGAATATGAAAGGGATGTTCAATCATGGAATTAATTATTCTTTGGATTATATTTTAATCTTGCAGTGGGAGGGCTGTTGAATGCAACCTGTGGCAATGCTACTGAGCTTATCATAGCAATTTTTGCCCTAGGCCAATACAAAATAGATGTGGTCAAGTATTCCCTTCTGGGTTCTGTCCTATCAAACCTGCTTTTGGTTCTTGGAACCTCTCTCTTCTGTGGCGGTATTGCCAACCTGAGAAAGGAACAAAAATATGATAGAGTAAGTTACTTGTCTAACTTTACATGCAATGCATTCATAAATAAATCAAGCTTCACTTTGTTTAAAAATTTTCTAGCACCAAAGTTATTTTAACACATAGTGGGAGATGTTTAATATTATGTTACGACTATTTTAATACATCTGGCTCAAGAGTTACGACTAACTTCAGTGTGTTAAACACTGTTGAATTTGACAGAGACAAGCTGATGTGAACTCTCTCCTTCTGCTGCTTGCATTATTGTGCCATTCGCTGCCATTGTTGTTTCGACTGACTGGGGCGTCCGCTGCTGTCACAAATGACCCAACACTGCAGTTGTCGAGAGCCAGCAGCATTGTAATGTTGATTACGTACCTTTCATACCTGGTCTTCCAACTATTCACACACCGGCAATTGTTTGAAGCTCAAGAGGTAGTTCAATCAATGTTCTAGCTTCTAAAATCCAGTTTCTACTATGAAACTGATATTCTAAATTATAGCCGATATGTCCACTGTGGTGCAATTGATCAGGAATCAGAAGATGACGAAGATGGACTACCAGAAGAAGCACCAGTAATTGGATTTTGGAGTGGATTTATCTGGCTAATTGGAATGACTACTGTCATCTCTCTGCTGTCTGAATATGTTGTACAAACAATTGAGGTATTTTACGAGAGTACAATCTATCAATTTGTTTGTATTTAGCCACATGTTATACCATTTTTTTAATAAGTTACCAGCCACGAATTGTGCTAAAGTGACACTTATTATAGTAGAGTGTACGGCTACTTATAATCATTATTCAAAGTCAGGTTTTTTTTTTTTTTTGTAAAATTAACTAAACTATCAGAAAATAAATTTCAGGCTGCCTCGGATTCTTGGGGAATTTCTGTTAGCTTCATCAGCATTATTCTGCTACCCATTGTTGGAAATGCAGCAGAACATGCAGGAGCCATTATTTTTGCTTTTAAAAACAAGCTGGTAAGTAATAGCCTTTCTTAATTTTCCTGTAGTTTCAGGCTTTCATCAGCGGTTTCATCAGTGAAACAATATATTGACAGAAATTTTGGAACTGAAATGCAGGATATTTCTTTAGGTGTTGCATTAGGATCTGCAACTCAAATTTCCATGTTTGTGGTACGAACTTACTATATATAATTGAAGCCTTCATTGGCCTTTACTAAGAAGAGCATGCAGTCTTTTAAAATTTGGAACTTCTGATTTTAAAAATAAACATTAATTCAATGTGACTCAGGTCCCACTCTGTGTGGTTGTGGCTTGGATTATGGGTATTAACATGGATCTTAATTTCAATCTCCTTGAAACTGGCTCTCTCGCTCTATCAATTATTGCCGTAGCCTTCACTTTACAAGTAATTAACGCTATTTTCATTTCACTCATGCAAATAACATTTTTATTTCTTGGCTTCATTATTGACCAAGTTGAGCTAATAAAATCTTGTAGGATGGCACTTCTCACTACATGAAAGGACTGGTTCTTCTACTGCTCTACATTGTTATTGGAACTTGCTTTTTTGTATCCAAAACACCTCTAAGTATGGATTCTCACAGTCACTAATTCTGAACTATCCATCATTTCACTATTATTTCTTCTAACTATTTTATTTTTTGTTTCCCACTTTTTCATCTCAGACCAAGTAAACATCACAAACTCGGAAACTGAAATAGCCATTGACAAAATCTTCAGAGTTTGATAAGTAAGTCAATTTTGTAAATACAGCTTGTACAAATTAATAGGTTCAAATATTATGGAACTAAAGATTAACTGGGTATAAATATTAATGAATTCAGGCTTTATCCCCTTTGATGATGAAACGTTTGAAACTTCAACGGACATTTCATGTCATTCTTTCATTATGGTCTGGCCTGCCAGAAAGCTGACAATTCGCAGTTACTCCACCGCACAGAAGTTGTCATTTCTTCAAAGTTCAAACTTGAGATGGGTACCATATATATAAATATATGCTTTAGATTGGTACCACAGGACATTGTTCTGTCTGTGTATAGATCTCTTTCGGTGTGTTTTTTGCTTTTCAACTGAGGTATGTTTCTAAATTATGCCAGTATAAGGGTGGCAAATGAGCTAGCTGATGTGGTTGTTTCCCTCTTGTAATGCATTTCATCAAAATAAATGAAATCGTTTGTTGTTTTTATTTGGCAAGTTAGCTTATGATTTCATTTAAATCTTGCCATTCCATATTTGGTTTCAAAAGACTTGCTTACTTACAAATTGTGATTATGAATCTCCTGGGGCAAAATTTTCAATGCATTTCTCTTAAAATTGAACTGACAATGGTCACAGTGCTAAATTCAAATCATATGAAATCCATAACTTAATTAAGTTGACTTATTTTTTTCTCATTCACTATCTTTTTTTTGTTTTGTATATAACAAAAAAAAAGTCAATCAATATAGAGTAAGAAAAACAGATGATAACGTTGCTAGTGAACAGTCAGCAATTTAGCAGTTTTCCAAGACTAGCAGCATTATTGTACTCTTGGTCTGCTTACGGTGGTGTTCAGCTATATATCCAACTATATCCAACTAAATACTATGTTTCGTCTTACTTTTGGCAGTTTGCTGTCTTGTTTTCAGCATTGCTTGCCTTTGCTTGTAAATATTTTACTTGCTAGAGGAAATCAATCAATAACATTCCTGCAACATTGAAAGAAATCAATTAGCTTAGAAATAAAGGCTAGCCGTAGGAATCATAATTTGTTTGGTTTAGTTTGGTTACTGTGTAGAAAGAAAAAAAAGTGTGGATGAAAAATTTTACTTTCTGTTTCTTTTTTTTTTTTTTTGGTTTCATAAAAAGGAAATAAAAATGAGTAGATTTACACTTTTACTTTCTTTCAAATCCAATTCTTTCAAATATAAAAGAAAAATACTCTTACAACTTAAATTATAAAAAAAATGATAGTTAATTGAAATTGTTTATATATATATATATATTCAGGGAGTAAAGAGTGGACGAAAATCGCCAGAAAGAAAAGCAGGAAACTACAAGCTGTGTTTTTACCATATGATATGTGAGGATCCACAAGCTGCTGCTAGCATAGATTTGTGCTGGGATGGTTCCCCGTTTAGCCATTTGTTGTGGTGGTCAGGTTCGTTCTTCAATTTTTAGGTGGAACTGCAATTTAAGTTCCAACATAATGGTAGGAAATTTGCATTACCAAAGAACCATGTATTATTGTACATGAAAATTCTTGAGCTGCCTGTTGTTTATTGTAATGAGGCTGTATTTTTTTAGGGCAATTATTTGTGCTTGCTTATGTTTTATCTTTTCTGTGTTTCCTATTGGGCATTAAATGATTTTTCATATCATATTTTTCTTTTGCACGGGAAGCAACTCTAACTGGTAAAAACCCAAAAAATGACAGTGCCAATATGACAAGTAAATACAAATGACTTGACGTGGGACATGCCTTTGGTTGAATTGTGGGCTGAGTGGGCTTGTTCTTGGGTTGCAATTCGTTTTGCTCTTCATTTTCCACGCTTGGTGTTGTTTTCGGGATTATGATTTGGGCTTTGGTATTGTGGGCTGGTCCTGGGTGGGTTTTGGATGTTTGGACTGGGTCTCAGTTGCATTTTGTTGTTGACGAATATCTACTTTTTCTTTTTCCTGCATTTTTTTTCGTTCTTGCCTGCCGGTCTTGATGTGAAGATAATTTGGGTTTTGGATATTGAGCTTTGGGCATAGAATTGGGCTGAATTGGGCAAACTCTTGGAAACCTTTAAAGCCAATTCATGGGGTCCTCGTGAGCCCTCTTTTTGAATTGATTTGAGCCAGAAAACGGACATTTTAATCTTTTGCTATTAGACAAAATCAGTTATCTGAAGTAAAAGCCACTTTTTAGTTTAAAATCCATCCATGTAAACGTGATTGAAGCTTTTCCGAGTTTTTACTTGAGATTTATAAAGAGATGAAATTTGGTAATAGCAAAGATTTATTTCTAGTTAGTTTAAATTATATAAGAATGAGGTAAGGTTAAAGTGAAAATTTTCGTATTCGAGTTATTGTCTAGATTTTGTTTGTTTCCTATCATTATTTTAATATCTTCATGGAATCAAGAGATTCTCTCCTGGCATCATCAACCACACACAAAAAAAAAAAAAATCAGAGAAAAAGCGCAAAACTGGCAACTTATTAAGCTACTTTAGCCTGGCGGAACGGAACAGCAGAACGATCGAAACTCCAGACCCCACAAACAGATAAGTCACGGATAAGGCCTAAACCTTTTTATTCGTCAGATGGATATACTTCTCCATCCAACGGTCATCAATCCACCTTTCTTCATGGGCAAAACTTTCCTTTATTATAACACGACTGATCAAAACTAACACACTTCAAACTGTAACAAATTTCCCATTTCCCATTCTTTACTTAGCTAAAGTGTTAGGTAACGAGTCAGGATCGAAATGAATTTTTGTTCATTTTGAATTTGATTCAATTCAAAATATTTTATTTTTTTTATATTTGAACTCGAATTTGACATTTTATAAATCATAACAGATTTGATTTAACTTGAAATTAATAAAATATTATTTTTTAAAATATAAATATATATAAATAAAAAATTAAAAATAATTTTTTATATAATATCGAGTCAAAATTTACTTAAAATTCGAATATGATTTTTCATTAATAATACCCGATTCGATTTGATTCAAAACTCGATTTAAAAAAAAAAATCGATCTTATGAGATCGGATCGGATCGAAACCCGCCGATTCTTGGGCTGGCAACCCTAGTTAGCTTCCTCCGAACAATGGCTGCCACAGCCGCTGCCGCCGCTACATCCTCTTTCATGGGCACCTGCCTCCCTGACGTTTACACGAGCTCAGGGAGAGTAGTGGCCAGGTTAGGCTTTGGTGGCAAGAAAGCTGCCAAGAAAGTCTCAAAACCAATCTCCGATCGCCCTCTATGGTATCCGGGAGCTGTAGCACCGGACTGGCTAGACGGAAGCTTGGTTGGTGATTACGGGTTCCACCCTTTTGGTTTGGGGAAGCCTGCAGAGTACTTGCAATATGATTTGGATTCTTTGGACCAGAACCTGGCAAAGAACTTGGCTGGTGAGATCATTGGGACCAGGACAGAGGTTTCGGACGTAAAGGCAACACCGTTTCAGCCCTACAGGGAGGTGTTTGGTTGCAGAGGTTCCGTGAGTGTGAGCTGATTCATGGGAGGTGGGCCATGTTGGCTGCTCTTGGTGCACTAACTGTCGAATGGCTTACTGGAGTTACCTCGCAAGATGCTGGCAAGGTTAGTTTACTTACCTGCCGCCCTTGTATGCCTTTTGGAAATCATTGTTTTGTTGCATAATTGAGATACTCTAGTTAAAAGAACTGTACTGAGTACTAATGAAGATTAAGATATAGTAAAAAGGCTGCAAAACAATGAGAGACAAAATCGGTAAATAGTAGAAAGTTGCAGTGAAAGCAAAAAAGAATGTCTTGATTAATCTGACAAGCTAATTAATCTCCGACGCCTTTTGTTGATAAATTTGGTAGAAACATTGTTGCAACTGAGTAGCATATGGGAATAGAAACTTGATGCATGCCTTTACCGTTGCTTGTTTGATGAGTAGTAACCCTGAGAAATCTTTTCAGGGTAAAATGTGCTTATGGTTATCTTCTGCCACATGTTTTAACAACCTGCTGTCAACATAACAGATATTGTTTGTTTATTTCAGGTGGAGCTAGTTGAGGGGTCATCTTACCTCGGCCAACCCCTTCCATTCTCCATGACAATATTGATTTGGATCGAAGTCTTGGTGATTGGATACATAGAGTTCCAAAGGAACGCAGAGCTTGATCCTGAGAAGAGGCTGTACCCTGTAGGAGAGTACTTTGACCCTCTTGGCTTGGCCTCTGACCCTGAGAAGAAGGCCACCCTTCAATTGGCTGAGATCAAGCATGCTCGCCTTGCAATGTTTGCTTTCCTGGGCTTTGCAGTCCAAGCTGCTGTAACAGGCAAAGGTCCTCTTAACAACTGGGCTACCCACTTGAATGACCCCCTTCACACTACCATCATTGACACCTTCACGCCTTAAAAAGATTGCTTTAATTTAGCTTGAGTCAATTTTGCTCGATGTACTATTTGTATGTGCCTTCTATGTTGCTAAAATTATAACATTCAACAGTTTCAGTAGAGAAGCCTATTAGCTCATATTGTCTGGTTTTCTCAAAAAGTGATAGCAACATCCATCCCCCTCCCCAAACTCGAGGGAAACAAGTAATTGTAAGAAGGGAAATGAGAAAATTCTTCTATATGTTAATCAAGACAACACCCAATCCATCCAAAATTCCAAACAAATTCAAATGACATTTATGGGCTTGGCCCATGTAGTTTATATTTACATTCAAGGTCTTTAATCAAGAAGATCTTAGTAATAATATTATTTGATTCGGTATGTCTCTTCAACGGACATATCATCTAGATTTTGGTAATTTTTCTAAGCTTGATTTTATGATGGAAAGGGTAATATCAATATGCTAGCTTTATCCCTAGATAGATAGCAAGGATTGAAGTTGAACATGACCCTGGTGCTTTGCATGAATATCCCCCGTATGTGCTTTGTATTCATAAACATCCTTTCTCCTGCAATCCTCTGACACCGACCAGTCAACCCTGGAAAACTCTAGACTCGAAGCGTTTGATCCACGAGAAGCAAATTGACTTTTTTCCTTTCAATTGCTCCCTCGGAGGCCTGGACTCGGCATGTCATGAGGAGACTTTAAGAATGCTAAGATTAAGAAATTAATAGCAATAGATGAAGATACCAATCTTTGTAGGTTTGGTTGGCATCAGTCAGCGATAGGTTTTTGATTCAGATCAGATTAACATTTGTCGTTTGCTCAAACAAAAACAAGAAAACATTTTCAAACTTTGGTGTGTCCCTTCTAAATTTCCAAAATGGGCATCAAATGCATTAAACATTTTCGCAGGTTGGGGGCCCAACAGCAAAGACGCAAGGCAGTGGCAGGCGCCAAGGTTGAACCGCTCGATTCACGATGCCCATTTAAATCAGGGCCGTCCGACTCGCCATCGTTTGTTTACCTCGAGAAATCCAACAGCTCACGTTAAATCTCAGCATCTTTTGAGTCCCCAAGTTTTTTGAATTCAACTTCGGAGGAAGTATCCGCTGCCTAGCGGCGTCTCTTAGCTATTTCTTTATTTATTTTAAAGTCGATCGTCCACCATATGCTTTCCTGCCGCCTCAAGAATGTTTTCCTCGAACTATATATAAATAGACAGATTTTTACAATCTAACTACAAAATTGCCACTCACTGACATAGGTGTGGAAAATTGAGCTTGGAACCATTTAGTCTGTTCCATGTCCGATCATTTAAAAAAATTAAATTAAAAAAAAAAAAAACTCTCTTCTTTAAAAATTAAATATTTCCTTCTTTTACTCGGAAATAGCGTTGTAATAACTAGCAGGCGCCTTTCTTGTTGAACCTACCTATATTTTTTTCTTTTTTTGAATCCATTTTTGTAGCTTTGAAGCTGAGTTTTGATACTGAAAGAGTCGGTTTCGTTTGATTAGTTTTTAGAGATCGAAAATGGTGATGAAAGAGAGAGACGACGAGCTAGCTTTGTTCCTGGAATTGCGGAGACGAGAGAAGGAGAAAGAGAAGAACAACAATCTTCTCTCGCTTCACAACTCTGAAGAACTCAATGCTCCTCTAGGTAAAACGATTAAGACTTCGTTTTGGAAGCTCTTCCTTGTGGAAGATGAAGTTTTTTGAACTGATTGTTAGTTTGTTGACCGATGACTAACTGAGGCTTTTGGATTTATATAGAATCTAACGGAAACGGAAACTGCGGCAGCGGTTCTCCGATATCGAAGATTGTCTTGGCTGTTCCTGTACGGAAGACTGCAGCTGATAATTTTTTGAATTCGGAGAATGAAAAGTCTGATTATGATTGGTAAATGAAAAGTCTGTGATTTCTAATTGAATATTTTCCCTTTTTTAGCTGAGAATTTAAGATCGATCTGTGTTTATAGCAATAGTGTTTTTTATTAGTTACTATAAGGAGCTCTGAGCTTTGGATTATCCAAATACGTGCTTCGCAAATTTCCTTTTTTTGCTTTTTTAAATGAAAAAAAAAAGTGAGATTTGTGTCAGCAACTTTTTTGTTTAAGTTTTTTGTAGTATAAGGAGCAATGATTTGATTCGATCTTAAAGCTTCCTTTTAAGAGGGAGATGTGTGGGTACCAATTTAGCCATAAAGAGAAGAACTTGACATCATTCTAAATCTTTAAAAGAAACGCCTTCACTTGCTTTTAGCAAAATTTGCATTTTAACATGAAAGGTTTTTTTTTTTTTTCTTAAAGAAGAATTCAAACTTGTTATTTGCTTTTATTTTAGATCGTTCAGATCAATCATATATCAGACAAAAAGTAGTGAAAGTGCAAAGATTGGATAGGTATTTGTCCCAAAACCCAATGTCTCAAGTTTTTAGGTGAAGGATATGGCTTAATGGTTCTATTAATTTTGCTGCTTCTGCAATGTTAAGAAAGTGCATCCATGAATATGATGCATTCCACTGCTAATTTTCTCCCAAAATAACATTGTGTCATTTGTTGGACATTGTCATCAGTAATGGAATTCTTCTTTCTGTGCTTGCGTTTAGAAAACCCTTGTTTTGGCCTGCTGTTGCCATTAACATATGATTTGTTAAAGATCATACTTTTCCTAAAAAAAAAAAAAGGAAAACTTTCTTCTTTTTTTTTTTCCCAAACTCAGTTATTGTTGGTGCTTTGAAAGTAAACAAAAACTGATGCATACATCAATGATAATTGAAATTTCCTTATTATTACACATTGAATTCATATCGATCATGATGATGGGATTCAACATTGAATTGTTTCTTTTCTTTGTATTAATGGGAGATGTCTTCTGCCTTCAGGCTTCTTACTCCACCCGGTACACCACTATTTCCCTCGTTGGAGATGGAATCACAGAAGACAGTAATGCGCCAGATTGGAATGTCTAATGCTCGTCCTACTGCTCTGAAAACAAGGGTATCAACTCTATATGATTTGAGTTCTGGATGCTTTAAACCTTTTCTTCTGCTGTTATCTGCGTGTCCAGATTGCGAAATTAAGTTGTCATAATGATATCAGTTTCAGTCATGTCATACTGGGAGCATTAGATCTCTTATGGCACGTGTTTTTTCAGCTTTATCTGGTTGTCAAAGTTATGACAGTTAGCTGGGTTTATTTGCTCTGTGGCCGTTAAGAGATTTATGTTGCTTCCCTATTGTCATATCTAGCTTTTTTTTTTTTTTGCCTTGGGGTTTCAGCTGGCAAATCTCCCAGAGGAACCTGCTTCAAAGAACACTCTAGCACCAAAGCAACAAACTCCGTGAGTTGAACTAAACACTTCCAGTACTCTTAATAAAAGGCCATCCTCTTCAGGTGGTCCAAAATCTGCTAGTAGACCTGCAACACCGACTAGCCGGACCACTCTACCCAAAGCAACCAAGCCTTCGAGGTCTTGTACGCCTACATCACGAGCCATCTTACCTTCGACAAAACCGGCTGCTTCTACAGCAAGATCCTCCACTCCAACTAGATCCACTGCGCGCTCTTCCACACCAACTACTAGACCCTCTTTGCCTGCTTCCGAGCTGACGTCAAGATCAACCACACCAACACGTCGACCAACTTCCTTATCTGGTACACCTATTGCATCTGCACCTACTGGTCGATCTTCTTCAGTAACAAGATCAGCTGCCACCACTTCTTCAGTACCAAAATCAGCTCCCATTACTTCTTCAGTTATGAAATCAGCTCCTTCTACGTCTTCTGTAACAAAATCAGCTCTCACTACGTCAAAATATTCAGTACCATCACGTGGCACATCTCCAACTGTAAAATCTAGGCCTTGGAAACCATCTGAGATGCGTGGTTTTTCACTTGATACACCACCAAATTTAAGGACGACATTGCCAGAAAGACCAGCTTCAGCCTCACGGGGGAGGCCAGGAGCACTTGGTGTCAGATCATATTCTATTGAGGCCAGTTCTAATGGAAGACCAAGACGAGAATCCTGCTCTCCTGCTAGAAGTAGGGTGTCAAGTAGCAGTGTTGGTAATGGGAGCTCTATTCGTGCTGTGCATAGAGCAGATAATAATGGTAGTGACAATGATAGTCCAGTAGTGATTGGAACAAAAATGGTTGAGAGAGTAGTAAATATGAGGAAACTGGTACCCCCAAAGCAAGATGACAATCCTCGTAAAAACCCTACTGCAAAGTTATCTACTTCCCTCGACAACTCAGGGTTTGGGAGAACACTCTCAAAGACGTCTCTAGATATGGCTCTGAGACACATGGTATACATCTCTTTCTTTACTTCTTGACTGTCTCATGCTTTAATAATTGAGTACTGTCCTTGTTCGGGATTTGATTATCATTACTATATCTTGACCTTTTCTTGTGCAGGATATCAGGGGAAGTATTGCAGGTAATCAGCGTCCTCTTATGACAAATGTTCCAGCTTCCTCCATATACAGTGTGAGATCAAGATCCACAAAGAGCAGGACTATAAGTGTTTCTGATTCTCCTCTTGCCACGAGCAGCAATGCTAGCTCTGAACCAAGTGTCAACAATAATTCTTTCTGTTTTGACGGGAGTGAATAGGAAGACAATGATCTCAGTAGTGAGAGAGGAAACTCCTCTCCCTCCACTAAGCGTGCTAGCTGACCAAGGTGACTTTCGTCCAAAATTATATATTGATTTACAAGTTTATCATATTTCTATTGGAAAGCTCAGCCGGCATGATGATTAAAGAAACAACCTGTTTCTTAAAGAAGCTGATGGTTACGGGGGATTTCAGATTTCTGTAATCTGTTGCTACTTGTAGGTAATCCTTCAGTATATTAATTGTAAGATTGATCTAGATTTACTGTCTGGAAATGGAATTTATGGAAATGCTCCTGCCTTTCTCAGAATACAGAAAACGGTTGATCTCAGGCCTCATGCTTTTAACTCGTAAATTACAATCTTACCATCACAAGCATAACATTTTCAATTTGGGATCATATTATTCAGCTTGAAGAATTTTGTTAATGCAAGTGCTGAGGGCTTTTTTTTTTTTTTCTTGGGAACAAGTTCTGAAATTTTAATAGACCATCTGATATTTTTCTGTTGATAATCTAACTTGTAAATTTTAGCAACCATAACCTACTTCCTGTAGATTTTCCTTGCTGTTAAGAAAATTAGTGGGGTGGTGGAGATGAGCAACGCTATGGAATTGTTGTTAATTCTTAAATACGTAATACTAAGGCAAAGAAGATAACTAGACAAGATATATATATGCCAAAGAACAAAAGGTTTGGTTCATAAAGACAAAACAAAACACACACCGACAACCAAACTTGGTATGGTGCACACAAATTTTCTACATAAAATTCCTTAGATGCCCATAAGAACCTTCAAAGAGAAAGCAAAGGATTATACAAACCTTAACGTACTATAATCACACTAATTACTTGTCAAATGGATAGTAGGATCTAGCACTCAGCAGTTTTATTCTCGAGCAGCGGCAACCGTCTCTGGAGTAGTTGCAGCTGCCATCTTAAGGGGAGGAGCATTGGGACCGGCACCTGGGGTACCAGAGGCAGTAGGAGTACCAGTTTTAGCATCTTTCTTGGCTTCTACTGATGTTGGCGGTTTGGGCTTCATGTGGGGAGGGGGATTGTGCTTTAGCTTCACAAGTATCTGTCGCATCCTTGAGAGATCAGTTGGCTTCCCAGGTTTTGGTCCCTGGATCACAACAATGGAAGGTTTCTTTTCTTTATCCTTCTTTCCCCTCTTCTCTATAGCTGGCACCTCATGGGGGATGAGTTCTGCAATCGCCTTCCAGTAATTTTTTGCAGCTTCAGCATGGAACTTCTCCCGGTTTTCCAAAAATAGCTGTCATATATGATCCAAAATATGAAATCTAAACACGAGTCATTGGCTTGACACTTACTATGACAAGTCAACCACCAGGAAGAATGAACTCAGTCAATGCTAAAGCAATATCACCAACTCCAACACCATATAGGATAATGAGACACATAAATTCATGTCAACTTTAAGGTAACATACATACACACACTATCGACACTCTTTGTCCCATTAACTTCAGGACCAACGCCATAACATTATTACCTTTATTTTCCTAGGAAATGAAGTTCATCAACTCATTAATAAAATCCACACCATTCAATCAGTTTAACAGACCATAAATTTTGCTTCCATTCAATAGCGAAAAAACATAAGAAATTGAGATTTGATCTATCACCTTCTCCTTCTCTCTGTTGGAGGCTTTGTTATTTTCAACAGCGATAATTCTCTTCCTATAGAATTCAACTTTGTACTCGTCTGCTTCCTTTACTGTTTGCTCCAACATCTCCTTCTCTTTCTTCTCCTTCTCCTTTATTTTAATCGCGTTCAGTCTGCCAATCCATAACTTCAATCTCAAACGTTAGATCATCACGAAACAACTTCCAGAAACTTCATCAACTCAAATTTTATTTTTAAAAAATGGTAATAGTAAAATTTTTATTAGCAAAAAAAATACCCCTTACTGAAGTTCAACTAAGTTATTTGTAGTCGTAAACTTACCTGCGCCACTCTCTCAAAGCAGAGCCTTCCTCCGGCTCCATCTCTTCAGGCGGCGGCAAGATCGACCCAAACTCTCCGTTGAATCCCTTCCCGTTCTGCTCCGGTGAAAAAGCAGAGTATCCGCTACCGCTACCGTAGATCGGCGGTGGAGAAGGTGTTTCCGGCATCGGATGAGATACGAACACGTCATCTCCGGTATCGTATGACTGACTGTTGAACATCGGAGGGGAATCGGCGACTGAGTCCTTGATCGAGTCGGCGTCGAAATTTGAGTACGACTCAAATCGCTGGGAAGGGAGGCGAGGGTCGTAGCCTATGTAGCCATCGTCGTCGAAAGGACGAGACGACATCGTCTTAAAAGGCTCTCTCTTCCCGACACCAACTGATCGCTGCGGTTTTCGTAAACCTCTCTCTCTTTGCCTTAAAATCGCATCAGGACACGGAACAGAATCTCAGGTGCTTTAATACCGTGCATTCGAGTTTACAAGAGTTGCCAGATGGCGATCAGCAACTGATGTAATCTACACTAGAATGAATGAAGTGATGCCACGTACTTTATTACGCTGGAGTTGAAGGCTTTCAATGTTTTTCTAGTTTGATAGAGCGCCACCTTTTGCTTGACTTGTGTCCCCACTGCCTCGAATATTGCGTGCCGATGGAAGCGAAGCCTCTGTTGCATGGTGCGATGGTGAGCTTTGCACGCTGTCGTTGGGACTGTACTGTACCAACCTCCTAGATACGCACATATGTGAGACCCTTTTTATCAATGCATGTATAACTTTTCAATTTTTTTCATTATAAATTTGCAACTTTTTAAATTGATTTCATTTTCGTTTTTTTTTTTTTTCGCATTTTTTAATAACTATTGAAAAAAAATATTTGCATGGCATGCCAAAGTAATATCCATTTGACATGCCATAAAAGTTACAATATGAATAATGCATCAATGTTAATAAATTTGTTTTTTTTAATTTATTAAATAAAATTATTTTAAAATGTTAGAAATTCAAATGTCACAATCCAAAGATTCAGAATTAAAATAAAACCAAAATAAAAGTTTGAGATACGGATGAAATTTAATTAGTTTTATCCTTATAAAAATTTGGTTAAAGTAAACTAAAATTTGATTTCTGATTAGGACATGATTTATTATTCAACTTTCAGGATTTTAGATCATACTTTTTTTTTATATATGTATTAAACTAAATTTACATTTTACAAGTATCCATTGTATAACTTTATGTATATGATGTTAGAATAAAATTTTATATTTATCACTTTACTTAAATTAAAACGTAATGTATCAAATTTATCACTTGTTTATGAATGAGTGCAATTTTTATTATTGAACTTTTTAATTTGGTTATGACCAAAACTAAAATATCTTGATTGTTTTGTTATTTTAATTAACTAAAAAAAATCGAATGTTTGACATACCTTTCATGTCAAATAAATGTCACACAAAAATAAAATTTTAAAAAATATTAATTAAAATTTTTGAAAAAATAAAAAATGATAAAAAAACAGAAAATTTTGCATAAAATGAGTCACACCTAAAAAAAAATCTTAAAAAAATAGTTATTAAATATTTTTAAAAAACTAAAAAATTAAAACAAAAAAAAAAGTAGAGAAAATGACGGAGTGCCACATTGCACTCCTGAGAATCAACCTTCGGTCAAAATGACCAAAATTTATGTTATAAAAGATAAATGTTGCTTTTTTTTTTCATGATTATTTGTTGTTTTATCTTTAATTTATAACAAAAAATTTATTAGATTGTGAAATTATAAAATATATTTGTAAAATAGCGCATGATGAAAAGATGAGTGATAATTTTGGTCTTTCATTTTAAACATAGTCATAAATTTAAACCTATTTCTTTAGTGTTTGAATATTATATATGTATTAGTTGTAACTTGCACCATTAAATAGTGTGGCCAATGTTAATAAAAGTAACTTTCAAATATATAAGTTAGTTTCAGCAACACATATATGAAGTCAATTTAAAACTTTATAAATTGGCATCTGTAAATTCTATGTTTGATTCAATTGTTTTTATTTGTACTCCTTGAAAAAAAAAAAAAAACGTATTTATTGTATCTTATCCAGCTACCAATAAGTCTTAAAATTGATTTGTAAGCCCGTGTACACAAATTTCAAAGGAAAGTAAGAGATCATTCTAAACTTGATGACATATCAAATGCTCATCGGAGCTTTTTTTAAAGCCTTTTTCTTCTTTTTATATTTTTTGGAACAAACAGAGGCTTTACCATCTTAGTAAGTCAGTTTTTTTTTTTTTTTTAAATGAAATTAATGAAAGAGGAAAAAAATTCAAGCATTAGAACATAGTCCTTAGACCAATTAGTATGGTAAAGCTAGTATCAGTTTCATTCTTTTGAAATTTCTTTGAAACAAACTTAACATTTATTCTTTTTACAATTTGAGATGATATATGACGTAAGAGATGAACATGAATTTATATTTTAATTTCATACTTTTTTTTTTGTGCAAATGCTTCTATATTTTATTTGGAAGCATTTTATCTTTAATTATTTTTACAAATTTTTTTAATTTTTAAGTTATAATATAAAATTTGGTCAAAAAAATTATAGTATAAAATTATGTAAAAATTTATATTTATAAGTATAAATTTTATATAAAATTTTAATAAATTTTATATAATTATAAATTGTGATTAAATAATTGTAATATAAGAATTATAAGTAATATTCTTTCATTTAATTCATACAAAATTATTTTTCATTTTGTTTACTGCTCATAATAGGAAAAAAAAAACAATTAAAGTATTGTTCTAACCAAAAAGCTAAACAATTGGAAAAATTTATGAATATTTATAAATCTTTTGTTGAAGGAATTTCGAAATACTTAGTAGAACGAGATTATTTGAATATGGCTAAATCACGAAGATCAAACGGTGTCAAAGCGGTATCCAATATAACAAGTCATAGTTACTGCCACGTGTACAAGACGGTCCCACCGTCCCTCTTCACAATTTTTTTTTTTTTAATTTCAAAGGGGGTTAATGTCCGTACAAAAGGAGAGGGCATGGCGGGGATTGAACCCTCGCCCACATGACTTTCTAACGGCCTCTGGCAAAAGGCCATCGGACCGTACATGTAGGCATTTTCGCAATTTCATCCAAACCCCATGCCTATTTAAATGAGAAGATAATTTCGCCTATAAATAGAGAAGCCCCCCCTTCCCCTTGTTTCAAAAAAACTCGTCGGTTAGAATAGAGCGGGGGAGGGAGCCCAGCAAAGAGAGAAGGGAGCAAAGGGATTAACTACACATTCCTTTTTACCCCAAAATCTGCGCACATTTACTGTTTTACCAACCATCATTCAAAATTTCTTTCTTAATCTCATCATTATCGAATCGAAGTGGATTTTTTTAATGAGTCGTTTAGGGTTTAAGTCGGTGGTCTATCACGGAGACGTTTGTTTGGGAGAACTGGATACTGTTCCTGTCTCGGACACGAATTTCCAATTCCCAAACAACGAAATTCGAATCCACCGTATCTCCCCTACCAGCGAACGATGCAGGCCTCTCTCCGTTCTCCATACGATTTCCTCATTACCTGTTCGTTGCAAGCTCGAATCCTCTTCTTCTGTCGAACAACCGCATTTGATTCACCTCCACGCCTCTTGCTTCTACGAATTCAAGGTTCTTTAATTTCTTTCGTTTTTTATTCAAAACTTTAATTACTTTTTCAGTGTTTTAATATAATTAATTGCTTTTTACTGTGGTTTCTTCAGACGGCGGTGGTTTTGGTTGGAGATGAGGAGGTTCACTTAGTGGCAATGCCGAGTAAACAAAAGAAGTTTCCGTGCTTTTGGTGCTTTTCGGTTCCTACAGGACTGTACAATTCCTGCTTAGGGATGCTTAATTTGAGGTGCCTCGCAATTGTTTTCGATCTTGACGAAACGCTTATTGTTGCCAACACAATGAAGTCGTTTGAGGATAGAATCGAAGCTCTTAGGGGTTGGATTGCGCGGGAGACTGATTCGATTCGTGTTTCAGGGATGTCGGCTGAATTAAGAAGGTATATGGATGATCGGTTGCTGTTAAAGCAGTACACGGAGAGTGATTGTGTCGTGGATAATGGAAAAGTGTTTAAGGTTCAAATGGAAGAGGTTCCTCCTTTGTCTGATGTCCACGAGAAAGTTGTTCGGCCTGTGATTAGGTTGCAAGAGAGAAATATTGTTCTTACTCGTATCAATCCTGAGGTTAGAGAAGGACTTCTTGACACGATGTATTTTGTTGATTTATTTGTTTGTATATTATTGCATTCGTGTTTGTTTTATGTTAACTTCTACAAATATTGTTCATTGAAACATGAGATAAGCATATTTCACCTGGATCTTATTGGATGTTTTAGAAGTTAGGACAAAAACGCGCCATGTGTGACATTTTTAATGATCCATTTGAAGTTTCAACAGGATTTGTGCTGTAACTTAAGACTTAAGACTTAAGACTTAAGAGATATGATGTGGAATTTACTGAGCTGATTATCATCCTGTCATATAGGCATTATGATAAGTACTTAATGTCACACATTTCTACAGAACATGGAATGAATGAATGGAATCTGTGTATGTTATCTCATTTATGAATAGTGTGCTTTGTTCAGATTCGTGATACCAGTGTGCTTGTGAGGTTACGTCCTGCGTGGGAGGAATTGAGAAGTTATTTGACTGCAAAAGGACGAAAACGCTTTGAAGTATATGTTTGTACTATGGCTGAAAGAGATTATGCCTTAGAGATGTGGAGACTTCTTGATCCAGAGGCACACCTGATAGGTTCAAAGCAACTACTGGACCGAGTTGTTTGTGTCAAATCTGGCAAGTATATAACAATTTTACATACATTCTTTTGTACTTGGGTCTTGATGCTTTATCATTTTGAAAATGAAACTTCAGAAATTTATTCTGCTATTTTGTGGAATCTAAGTTGCTGAATCTTAATTTTGTATGAGCATATTTGAAAACTGATGTGTCAAACAATGAACCTGTTGTAGTAGGTAGTCTCCCTTTCTTGATGGTACCCCTCACCTTGCCATCTGCTTTAGCAAATTTTAATGTTCTTTTGTTTTTTATTAATTGTTGTAGGTTCCAGAAAATCTTTGCTAAATGTGTTCCGAGATGGCAAGTGCCATCCACAGATGGCAATGGTAATTGATGACCGTTCAAAGGTCTGGGAGGATAAGGATCAACCTAGAATTCATGTGGTTCCTCCGTTTGCACCATATTATGCTCCTCAGGCAGAGGTACATGATATGCCTTTTTGTAAGCCAACATATTGAGATATGATTTTCTTTTTCTGATATTTTTGGCAAAATTTCTCCCTCCTTTATTAGACAACAAATGTGGTTCCAGTCCTCTGCGTAGCAAGAAATGTTGCATGCAATGCTAGGGGTTTGTTTTTCAAGTAAGCCATTAATTTTGTATGGTCAAATCTTTATAGATGGATATCCATCCTCATCATCTTCTCACGTTTGCATTTCTAATTTCTGATGTTTCATTTTATTCAGAGAGTTTGATGAGAATGTATTACCGAAATCTGAAGTTTTTTACGAAGATGAGGTGTTAAATCTGCCTCTTGCTCCTGATGTGAGCAACTATTTGATGTCAGAGGTACCTACATTGACAGTATATGATAATTAAATAATTGAGAGAAACTTTGAATTCCCAGTTGTATTTGAAGCATTTACTTGTCACTAATTTGCAGGATGCTGGTTTTGCTTCAAATGGGAATAGTGGTGTTCCTATGAGTGAAGGAATGAATGGAGCTGAAGTTGAGCGGAGAATGAACCAATTGGTAAGTTTTGGGTAATTATCTGGTGAATGAATATAAATTTATGTTGCAGACCTTGGTTGGTTTGTACGAAATTTTTATTGAACATATGCTCTAAAAACAAGTGATAAACTATACAGGTAAGGATGTTATGTGGCAATTTGTCATCTTTTGGATATGGTCCTTGTTTTCTGTTGCTTCTTGATGTGCATGTGTCATATTGGATTTTTTTATTATTTTGAATCATGTGTTTTCCTTAAATTTTCATTATTATAATATCTATAGTTATTCAGGAGGAGAAGCATGTTTTGGGCTCTTCCACTCATCCAGTAACAAATAACCCTGAGTTGAGGTTTGAAACATCTCAGCCACCTGTTACAATTGTTCCCAATGTCATTGGTCCTGCATCTTCAACAGCACCATTGCCTGCTCAGAGTAGGGTTCCATTTTAATATTATTTTATTTTGAATAGAAGGCATGATATGCTGTGTTGGAGTATATTCTACCTTATTATTTGTTTTTAACTGCATCTTAGAACCTAGTTTACTTGGAGCTCCTGGTCTGCTTTCAACTCCTACCTTGCTTGGACCTTCTGTAAGAGGAGATAACAACACTAATGATAGTGATTATGACATGAAGAGAAGGGCCCTTGGCTCAAAACAGGGTTTAGACTTCAGGAATCAGAGCTCGGTCCAACCTCCACTCCTATCTAAATTACCTGCACAAACATCTTCATTGCCAATACTGCCTCAGGGAGGTTGGTTGGTGGAAGAAGACATGAACAAAGCACATCAGAATCCTTTTTCTCATACTGCATCAGTTTCTGTTTCAACTGGTTTACCATCACATGCGTCCCAAGTGAAGGTTGAAGAGGTTTGTTCAAAATTCCTTTAGATTTATCTCATAACCTGTGTTTATCCTAAATGATATCTTATTTGATCTTGTATACTTCAGGCACATACTGGACTTGATACATCAAAACTGAATGTTCTGCCTACAGCTTATGTATCAGGCATGTGAAGCTACTACTCTCGCTCCATCTCTTGTGTCAGGCAGTTGTTGCATAATATGCTATGGAAACTAGGCTTGTGGTCTTGTGAATATATTGCATGGCGGATAAGTTATGGAGGATAAATATTGAAGGTTGATATGCTTGTTAAATTATAATTTACAAAGACACATATAAATGAAAAGAAGTTGTCTAGAAAGACCAAAGCTGGTAGAAGAGTTGAACTTGGAATGGAATAGTTGAATTGGCTTTTTGTGGATCAGTGCATTAATTTAGATCTTGTGGGATAAGAACATGGTTCCAAGATTTGGAATGCACATCCATTGTTATTACTTATTTCTATTTGGAGTAAAGACAGGTTTTAGAGGACTGGTTCCTAGCTTCAATGAATGATTGTTTGAATCCTCTTGCAGAGAGCGGTGGAACTCAGAATCATGTGGCTTCTATTAGCAGAGAAATGCAGTCTGAAGGTGGAAAATTGAATCTTCTACCCTCCCATTTGCCAATAGGTGTTCTACAAGAAATTGGACGCAGATGTGGTTCAAAGGTAGATTATTTTAGGTGCAAATTTATTTATGCTTAATCTTGATTGCCTTGCTTAAATCAATTTAGTATTTTTTAAACTTGTAATCTACAGGTTGAGTTCAGGTCTGTGGTAAGCACCAGTAAGGATTTGCAATTTTCGGTTGAGGTTAGTGAAAGCTGTATTTCCTTGCTATTTATCCTCGAATTTCTTCAGGATTGATCTGAGGTTCAACTGTGTTTGTGTCTTCTTGTATTGTGAAAATGCTTTATTAGTTTTTTGGGGTATTGACATGTATACTGGCTTACACCAATGCTCTTTGTTTCTTCATTTCCTTTTCCCTTCCAGATTGTAGTTTACATGTATACTGGCTTACATCAATGCTTTTTGTTTCTTCATTTCCTTTTCCTGTCCAGATTGTAGTTTGTGAATTTGTTTTATGTCTTTGAGAAACCTGCTTATCTTGCTGGCTTATTTTATTTAGGTTTTATTCACTGGTGAGAAGATTGGTGTTGGAATGGGCAAGACAAGGAGGGATGCTCAGCAGCAAGCTGCTGAGCTTGCTCTTCATAACTTAGCAGGTGATTTCTTTTTGGTTATTTTCATATCTGTTCTTGTTATCTAGGCTATTTTTAAAACTCCTAATGACACCAACTCGGTAAAATTTCTTCAAGATCAAAATGAAATAATAACAAAAATACGCAAGTAGGGATATTTATGTCTTTCTAATTTTTTGTTTCACATGTTTTTCTAAAAACCTTCCTACTCAACTCATCAGTAACTTTTTTTTTTTGAAGTAATTTTTTTCTTTTTCACCCACATAGTGGGTGTGTCCAAATCTAGTTATAACAGTTACTTTGTTTGCGTCAAGACCGAGGGAAGCATGCATCTTCGTTTGGATATGATTGGTTTAAACATGAATGAATGAGAATACAGTGTTTGTCTATAAGAGGACTCATTTTTTTAGCTTTTTCAAATTTCCCATGAGTTGTTTCTCCATAGTATTTATTAGTTTTTGCTGCAATGAAAGGAGTTGAAAATTTTGAGCCTTTTGGAGCTTTAGGGCTATGGATATTAATTTATGCATACGTCAAACATTGGTGAATAATGTGCTTTTGGTAACATAGGGGTGCATCATTAGATTATAAAATTTTCTTATGCTTCATCTGGTTGATTGTTTTTTTTCTCAACTATGACATCGAGCAAAGGTGCAGGAAGGAACTGACTATTTTTATACATGGTATCTCAGAAAAATATGTAGCATATATAGCACCTCGTTCTGGAGCTGTGGATAGAGATTTCAATAAGCTTTCTCTTGGAACCGAAAATGGATTTCTGTGGGACGTGAATCCTGCATCAAATGAAGCACTAAGAGAAGATGGGTTACCCAAAGACAATTCTTCTGAGGTGGGGATTTCTAATGATGCTTTCAGGACTTGATTTGATTGCTTTGTTAAAAAAAGGTGATGCTTGGATAAAGGGTGTCTGGGCAAGAAATTTCCAGATTAGAGGTAGTGGTTATCTGGAGAGAAACCACTCCTCTTTGGATTTTGCATTGCACCAAGATGTGAGAGCTAAAACATTGAAAGGAGAGTGGGCTGGCTTCATGTCTGCTACTGCTGCCTTAACCAGCTCAATTTATCTTTTTAAGAGGTAAGGACTTGGTGTCAGTCCTTAGTTTCTACCCCTTATCCAAGTAATCCCAATTAACATTTTCAGCTATATATTCCCTCTCTTGAAAGTTGATATCACGGACACAAATTTGCTAATTGTGAATTCTATGTTTTTTAGTTCACTTGATAATGAATTGTTATGAGCAAGCCTTTTAATGGGATTGTCAAGCAAAATGAGTTGATTTATGTACTTACTCGGTGAATGTTTATTACACATCTAATTTTTCTTGGGACAGGATTGGAGGACTAAATTTCTTAACACTTGAAATCAGGTTTTTAAAATGGTGGTCTTAATAATTATTATTCTTTTCCTTAGTGAACAGGATTCTTCACTTGTAGTGATCTCAACTGGCATAGATTAACCACTTGTTTAATTGATAAATAAATTTCAGGCTGCTGAAGTTGAAGCTGGGAGTAATCCATTGGGTCTGGTAAATCAACCAATGCAAAAGTGTGCCAAGTCACCAAGGTAACAGAAGCAGAGGCTGAGTTCAAGGGGGCTTAGAAAGTAGGATATAGGATCTCGTTTTGCTCTCGTTTTTGAAGGAGTATTTAGGCCCTTACCCTTGAAAATTGAAAGTAGGATTCGATCTATTTGAGTGCCATATTCAATACTTTGTTATCTTTTGCATGTCATTCAAGGGGCGTGTACTTCCCATATGCCATTCTTACTCGTAGATCCTCCTTTTTGGGTGATTTTGGTCCATGCCTCATGGTCTGCATGGCTTTTACATCATAGATAAATGTGTTCCCCGTTTCTTGTGAGAAGGGCATTCTGGTATTGGGCAGCTTATTTGCATATTTATCTACAGTTATGACTGCTGTTGCAAGGCCATCAGACTGTAACTTGGTATTATTGTGGAAAATTTCCTACCATCATCAACTTGGACTCGTTTTCGAATGAAACCTTTTGAAATCTTGAAAGGACTTTTGTCTTTTCATACCTTACTAGTTTCTATCTAAAAGTTATTACTAGTATCAAGGGATGTGAATTTGTTTTTAAGCTTGATTCTCCAAGAAATTAATGTTTTACTTTTGTTATTTCTGAATGTTTACAGATTGTCCGAATCTATGCCAAGCAAACGATCAAAGGAAGAATTTCTGCGTCGATTGCAAAGTCTATCATCCTCAGGGCAACCAAAAAAAGAGCATCCTGTTTCATGAAAAGCCATGAGAAGGTTTTGAGACGAGCGACACCAAATTTATCATAGCAGATGTGCAGAATCCAATCTTCGCAGGTTTGGAGTTAACTAATGCTGAGGTGAATAGATGTCTTCTTGGGGAAATATGGGCAATCTTTTTTGTCATTTTGCCCTGTTGTTTCCTGCTTTGAGTATGATCAAAGGCAAAGCCAGAATCATCCAGTCGTCAAAATGTATTGGCTCTCGCAGACATGGTATTTGATATATTTTTTTGCCATTGTCAAGAAGAAAATTAAAATTCAGCATGGAATTAGCATTTCTCATTCACGTTCTTGCACTACATTTATACAGAATTGTCCCAAATCATTTTCGATGCTTTTTTAGTGTTTGTATGTTTTAACTTTAAAAAAAAAAAAAGATCTAATTAAGACCTATTCATCACTAGATAGTTAATCATAATTGGAGGCAGAATAATTTATGAGTTGTAATCCCATTTTATTTGAAGTTTGGTATTGCTAATTCCATTTTATCTAATACCTAATTAACTTCATAAAGCCTTCATCAAAATAAAATTAAATAAAATAAAAAACTTAAAAAGCCATATGGTAACGAAGTGGCTTGAGGTACTTCTGTATCTAATAGTAATATTACTTTTCACAGTAAATATGGGGTAATTGTTGGTGGTAGTAGGTAATTTATTAATTTTTAATATATTGGGTGATGATATTATTCAAATTGTTTCATCTTCCAGAAAAGAAATATATCGGGAATTGATAATTTGTTAATTTCCAATGCATTAAATGAAGATATCTAATAAATTAAGATTACATTTGGCACGTAAAATTAATTGAAAGATAAAATATTAATTATTTTATCATATATTTGTTATGTATTTAAATAAAAAAATTAGATTATAAAAAGATTAGATATCTTATGTTAATAGGATAATTTTATGTTTTTAAAAAATAAAAGATTATTTTTAATTTATATGATTAAATTTATATGTTTTATTATATTTTTAAAAATTATATTAATAATTTAAATTATATAAATTTTTAAAAAAATTTTGATTAATAAATAAATTATTTTATTTTAATCTTTATATATATCAAATATAAAATAAAATAATATTATTTAATTTAATTTAATTTAATTTATAATATTATCTTATTATATTTTATCATAATTTTATGTACAAAAGGTGATGTAATCTTAAAAAAAAAAAAAAAAAAAGAGAAAAAACTTATTGTATTAACCATACAAATACAATGGAGAAATTTGAATTATTGAAAAAAAAATTGCTATAAGTGGAAACGCCACTGCAAAATCCACTCAGAATCTCAGGTTTCCGGCAAAACCCAGAACCAAAAGAATGGAGTTATCAGATGAATGGAAAGCTTATTTCCCTATCGGCAAATCCCTGGACCCACCACTACTCCTCTCTTCTTCTTCTTCTTCTTGTTGGCTTGGTCCTCTTTTGTTCATCCCAAAACCTAAAACCCATCCTAAAACCCTTTTCTCTTCTCCCTTAATATTCCCTCCTCTCCTTCCTCCTCCTCCTCGCCTTTCTTTCTCTCGGTTCCTCTCCACCTCTTCTGTCCCTTACTCCACTTCTTTCTCTATTGCTTCCCGCTTCGGCCCCTACCATGACGTCGACGCCTCTTCCCTTTTATCACACAATTGCCTCCACCTTCTCCACTGCCCCGACCAAAACATTGCTCTTGTCTTCTTCACAACTGGCTCCAACCATGACCGAATTGGGTTCTTAGCTATTCACGTCCAAGACAACGATTTCAAGATTCTGGGTGATCGGAACGGTGACGTTTTTGTTTCTAACAACTACTTTAATCACAAAATACTCAGGATTTTACTCAACCCAGTTGACGATTTCGAGGGGATTTCAGGTGATTCTGTTGTTGGGTATTTAATGGCTTGTACTTTATACGCTGTTCATTGGTATTCTGTTAGAATTGATAAGTCTAGCAAAACCCCTTCTTTGGATTACTTAGGCTGTAAGTTATTCAAGAGTTCCTCCATTGTCAGTGCTTGTTGCAGTCCGCATTTACCTGAAGAGAGTTTGGTTTTGTTAGAGAACGGTGCATTGTTCTTGTTTGATATAGAGTCTGATGTTAATTGTCAAAAATCCAATGGCTATTTTAAAGGAAGTAAACTGAAAGTTTTATTGGATGATTCCAGTGGTTCAGAGAATTATAAATGGTTGGGTATTGAGTTTAGTTGGCATCCTAGGATTTTCATTGTTGCCCGATCAGATGCAGTCTTTTTAGTTGATTTTAGGCTTGATAAGTGTAATGTAATTTGTTTAGCTAAGGTTGAGATGTTGAGCCCATATGTTGTGGGTGAAGAGGATCAGTTCCTAGCGTTTTCTAGAGCAGGAGCTGATGGGTTTCAGTTTGTTTTGGCTTCCCATAGTTTATTAGTTCTTTGTGATGTACGTAAGCCAATGATGCCATTGTTGCGTTGGGCTCATAATCTTGATAATCCGTGCTATATTGATGTGTTTATGTTATCGGAATTGAGATCACAATCAAGGGATGATAGGTATCAGGGGTCAACTGAATCAGGTTTTTGTATAATATTGGGATCGTTTTGGAATTGTGAGTTCAGGCTGTTCTGTTATGGCCCTTCTTCAGCTTGTGAAGGATCCATTGGTATGGGAATTTCTAAGTTTTGCAAACCCTTTTTGGCATGGGATCTTCCTTCAGATCTCTTATTGTCAAGCCAAGAGTGTCATTGTGGAAGTTGCCTTGTTAGAGAAGAATTTTCAAAAGGTGCACTTCCTGAATGGGTTGATTGGCAGCATAAGAAGGATATTGTCCTGGGCTTTGGAATTTTGAACAGGGATCTCTCAGAGTTGGTGTGTGAGTCAGATGAATTTGGTGGGTTTACTTTGATTAGGCTAATGTCTTCAGGAAGGATTGAAGCTCAACGATATTGTGCCTCATGGGATTTTGTGCAGAAATTAGATGTATCTCACAGAGAACCATTGCTGAATTTTGAGGATAGCTTACTATACTCTTTGGGTGATGATGAGTATGAATTTCCTAAAAAGTTCAAGTATTTGAACCTTGACTATCTTCGTGGGTATTTATTTGGCAATCTTACTAAAGTCCTAGATTCCAAGATGAAGAAGTCATGCAAGGCTCCTCTGGAGAAGGAATCTTTTAGCCTAGACTTTCACGAAATTTTGTGTGAGAAGTTAAAGGTCTGTGGATTTGGTCGATTTAGGTCTTCTTCTGCACTTGCTATTGTTTTCAATGACATTAGCTTGCCAACAAGCATATATGAAGTTACTTCTAGGCAAATGTGGGCAACCTTACCTTTGGAACTTTTACTACTGGCTTTCTCTGGCTATTCTGAGCTACTTGATGTGCCTTTCGATGACAAGACAATGCCTTTAGAATTTTCAGTTGTTCCAGGCCTTCCCCAGTTGCCTCCTTTCCTATTAAGGAAGCCTTCATGCCGCAGCACAAAGTGGTCACACAAAGTGCAGCCTGATGATTCACTTGTGGGTCCTGTTCTTCCTCTTCCTGTTCTACTTACCTTGCATGAGTTTCGTAATGGCTGTCCTGATTCAGAGAAAACGTGTGAATTTTCATCAGAGGTAGAACTTGGCCTTAGGTGTGATGAAGTCATGCGGGCTGCTGCAGAAAAGGCCATACAAGATTCTAGCTTGCTTAATAATGATCAAGCCATCTCTCTTGCTGATGACAGAGATGAGATGTGGGTTGACTCTCAGAGGTCAAAACCCTTCCTTTTATACCAACCTGTTGGAGGTGAGTCATCTTGCATTGGTCAACCACAGGGAAACCATATTTATAAGGATGAGAAATTTACTACCATGATTACCAAAGTGCATAAGAAGGAGACTGATCATAATGCCAAATTAGATAGTGTTGGGCTAGAACTATTTGATGATCTGTGTCCTATTGAGTTGAAGTTTGATGTTCCTGACATGAAATTTGGTTCACAGGAATTAGAAGCGTACAAGACATTAAAAAGGCAGTTCTCAAAGTGGCAAGAACGCTTTAAACCATATCAGGAACTGTGCATGCAGAATAATATTAATTTTCAAAAGAGGGCATGATATGCTTTGTTGGAGTGGGTTTCATCTTTTTCTTTGAACCATATCTAAGTGCCTATTTTGCTTTCTCTCCCTGTTTGGCTTGGAGCTGTTGTAAGATGAGAAAGCAGTACCTATGATAGTGATTATAACATGGAGAGCCCTTCGCACAAAGCAGGCTGTGGATTGATTTTTCTTCTGAAAATATGGCTTTTTTTTTTTTTTTGGTTATTTTTTCTATTTTCTCATGCTCTGTTGATGTTTGAATGCAGAAATTGTCCTAAGATGCTGTAAAGGGTCATTTTAACTCATAATTATCAAAATTTCAATGACCAAAACTAATTTCTTCCCCTGAAGAACAGATTTAAGTGTCGGAAAATTTAGCATCTCTTATCTTTTAATGTGGTTTTTGGTACATGCATAACGCCTAAAGGAGTCTTGCAACATTCTCTGTTGCTTGTGTCAAACAGATTGGCAGTTATTGAGGTGGTACGTTGAGTCAGCATAGAACATGATGACGAAGAAAAGAAACTAAAAACCAGAAAGGAATTTTTACAAGATTTCGAGAGGCACTGCTTATTGTTATCCTCTAAAAATTGATCCAGGTATTATTTGAAATCAACATTTTTCCAGCATCGTGACAGATTTAGTGATAGTGGTATATGATTATGGTAATGCTTTGGTTTTAGAGCTGCATTGTTGGTAGGTTTTTTCTTTGCCTAGATTGCTTAAGGGTATGGAGTGGGTATGGACTTTGAAGGTTGTGAATTCTGCCATCCCAATTAGGAATCTGGTTTGGGTTTTGGAAGATGTTGTTTCAGCAGCTGGACGCGAAAGATGCAGGCGACTCGGGCACTGCTTGATGTACACCTTTCGCTTTGTCATTTTGTAATTTATACTAAGAAATAAAGAGCATCAATGCAGTGGTAAGTCTGCAACGTCCTTGCTCTCTTCATGCGATGTGTTCTCAATTTCCTCGATGATATTGATGATGATTATTCCTTGCTCTTTTCTCAGTTTTTAGAATTGCATTTTGAGATTGGAAGCAATTCTAAGGATCATCTTTGACTCTCCTTTCGAGGTTAGCTACTAAAAGAAGGCTTTCGTTCATGTAGAAGACATCGCCCTACTTAACATTCATTTTTATCTATTCTGTAAGCTCTCAATGTCACCAATGGTTTAAAAAAAAACATAATTACTATATTTTTCCTAATTTTGAACGTTAGTCTGTTCACAAGCCAGGGAAATATCAGAAATAAACTGAACCTTTTAACCAAGAACACTCGGAAACGATCCGAACAGAGCAATCCAGCACTCATTTGTACTAGGCAAATATAAATGATGTCTTGGTATAAATGCAGTACATACAATAACAAATAGCCCAAAATTCTGGGAATCTCACATGATATAATACAGAAAAACATAATTAAGGAAGCAGCGTTTGTATATACATACTAACAGCACTACCAATGGTTAACCCTCATTTTATTTGCCAGGCCATTTTTAGAATTTAACACAAATGATACAACATGCCAACAGGTTCATAGAAACATTAACATCCAGTTTAATCTAAATGACCTACAGAAATCTTAAACTGCTCAGAAACTTCTGTATTGTTTTACGACCCCACTGGATATCACTTTGAAAGACATTACTTTGAAAAGGCTCAGGGTTAGGATGTTCTTCTCTGGCTAGTTGAGGCTTCTGTATGTGTTGATTGTCGAGCTGTTCCTCCTCATCCTTGGGTAGGGCAGTTGTTTTTTCTTCCTGTTGTTCACCTTCATTTTCTTGGTTCTGAACAAACTGAATATTATTTGGTTGCAGTTAAAAAAATAAAATAAAAAAAGGGAAAAGATACAAATATAATCTGCAATAACCCTATCATTCTAAAGAACCACACCAGCAACATATTACAGTATCACATATTGTCCAATGGCAAGTAACTGATAATTCTGTTCCTGTTCAAGCAGCAACAGTTTTCCTTCACACTTGGGGCTTCATTCATTGCGGTACTAGAAATGCCACATTGCATCATTAGTGGCTCAAAACAATTGAAGTTGAAGTTTAGATTGAACATTCATCTGTAGCAAAGTTTTGTTGTGTATCAGTATGTATGTGGAAAATAGAGAGGGGGAGACGTGACTTAACATAAAGTTAAGGATTTCCTTGTCCCCATTCGTGATGATTTATATACCATTTTCCTTTATTATCATTGTGCAATACTTCATTGATGAGGGATTGAAAGAGCTACATTGCTTATTACACATCATCTCAAGATGATACAAGCTATTGAGGTTCATGGATATGAGGTTTTATTTCTTGATAGGTGATAGTACCAGACGAATGGAAGAGAGGACAAAGAAAAAAAAAAAAAAGACAGAACATCACACTCATCAGGCAATTACCTTCGGCAATTTGTGATATTTAGCTTCATTAGCTCCAGTTGATGCACTAGTTGTACTATCCTTTCCATCTTCATCCAGCATTACCTCTTCAGTTGACACTGTTGCTAATGGAGTCAAGCCAGGTACCAGAACAGGACTACCTTCATGTGCTACCGGATTTCCCTCAACATCTGGAATTGCTGGGTTCTTGAGTGTTTCTACTCTACCGATATTTCCTAGGTCCTCTGCTACCAAAACATTCTTATTTGAAATAGCCAATGCTGCATCTATTGGGTAGGTAGTTCTCTTCACACCAAGCACTCCATTATTTGCATTTGCTATGAAGTCTTCCGTTGGGTAACTAATATTGTCCGCAACAATAGCCAAGGGCTTCTCTATTGAAGGAGCACTATTGCCAGTGACTGTGACCAAATCCTCAGATAATGCTTGAAATGGCTCCTTTCCAATAGAGGTGATACCATCGGTATCTGATACCAGATTCGAGTCAGATTCAAGTTCTTCCTTTGGCGGTATCAAGTTCTCTGCGACAATTGCCATCCCAGAATCAAGAAGAGGTCCATCTTGATTAGCTAATGATTGTTCCTCTATTAGTTTCTGATATTCAGCTTCTTCCCAGTCTTCGCAAATGATAATTGTATTCTCAGTCTCCCAGGACTTAAATATCCGATCAGGGCCTGGTTGCCATAAAAGCTTCCCAGTGCTTGTTTTCAGAATGAATTTGAACTGGATTGATAGTCCAACAGGTATATCCTGAGCAAGTATAAAGCAAGAAATCTCATCAATATAGCCTTAAACAATATTATTTCACATTCTTCATAAGTTCCTCCTTACCAGCTCTACTGTCCAAACATGTCCTTCTGACCAAGTCAGTGGTATAGCACTCTCGGGGTCCCACAAGCCTAACATAGGGTGATCACCTACTAAGAAAAAATGCTCGCCAAATGAGCACTCTTTCTGTAACTCGAATTTGACATGAGTAGTCTTTGATGGATCTGTGCATCCGAGGTGTTGAGATGAGACTCGGAATTCAGAATAATCAATAATAGACAAATAGTTAAAGGGCGACAAGATCTTACCTTCTTCTTCAGGTTGAGTTTCTGCTGTCTCCAAGTCCACCTACATGAAAGAAAATTTACCAATTGCAACTGAAGTTCAATACAAGTTAATCATTCAATTGAATTTGAAAGAAATTGTAAATGAAATATATTTAGTTTTTACGTTTATTCACAGTTTCAAAACTCTCTAATTGTAAAACAGGAAACTTAACCATCTATTGACTTTTGCATCTTTTAAACCCCACGTTATAAAAGAAAACATGAACGGATTATTAGATTCTACATAACTCCTTTAGAACTAGACAGTCCACGAGATTCCTTAAATTATCAAAAGGCAGTCACTGCCACAATGGCTTAGAAATCACAGGAAGAAAAAAATAAAAAAAGTAAAGAGCAATAACATGGAAAGAAAACTTGGGAATCATGCAAACAGGCTTCCTCAAAAACAAACAACAAGAATTCAATTTTCCAGAAACCAAAACCATTCAAAATCAGCAAAAGTAAAAGAAAAAAAAATCCACTATAAAACTTTAAGAGGTGATTATTAAAAAAAAAAAGAGATTGGATACATGCCTGTGAGTGTGGTGACAAGAAAGAAGATGAAAAAACAGGCTGCAGAAGCCTGTGTTGCACAGAAAGCAAATGAAAGAACCGGATTCTAACAAGCTCTTTTGAAGGTAATAAGCATACTTCAGCTCTACCACGAGAAAGATCCTTAAAACAAGAAAACCCTTTATCTCTATTCTTGTCAATGATTGCGTTGGAGCAAGAACTCGCCAAGGTTTTCATCACTTCCAGTTTCCAACCGTAACTCGCTGTTTCTCTTTCACTAAAGCTTCAGCCTTTTGTTCATTAAAAGAGACGGTATTTTGCCTGTTCTGGAACCTAAATAATACAATCAATCTGCTTCTGGTGGTTCTCCTCTATATAATGGGTGGGGCCTGATAGGGATAAAGGAGTCGGATCATCTGCCACGTGTCATTTAACACGCATAACGTGAGAATCTCGAGTCTCATGACTCTCAACTAACTGGCAGCTGTTTTAGCATTTCAAGAGTCCCTTTTTTGATCCTCGCCGTTGGATTGGAAGATGGCGGTGACATCTGTCTCATTTTTATTTATCACTGCTAACTTTTGATCATAAACTTATAATAATTGACTTAGGTGTTCCTCCATTTCTGGCCAAGAAAATATTGAAATTTCTGCTTCTCTAGGTCTAGGCCACGAGTTTCCGAAAGGCATTTCACGGTCCACCCAATAAAAGCTTGGCTAACACTGTCCACAGCCCAGCCAAAAGGGATTTCTCAATCTAATCTTTATGTCTTTTTGGTACATTAATGGATAACGTTTTCACCACTCGATGGACCCTAATTAGTTCGTGTTCACTTCTTCAATAGCATGGATTCCCAACATGTTGATAAATCCCCTCACCTGTGAACTTCGGCCTTTGGGTATATATAATACAATTGGGAAGCAGGTTATTGGAAACCCTTCACTGAAGCCAGTCCAACCCAGAATTAGTTCGAAGACCTTAGCTTTGGGTCTTTTAATATGAGCTCATAAAAGAGATTGTTAGGCCTGTTGAGATTTGGGCTTTCTGCTTTGTAAGAATTAGTAATGTAATATTTTAAGTATATATTGATTTTCGTTTTTCAATCCTAAAGTCAGAAAGTATAACTTTCCCACAATAATTTTAAGGACAGACTTCTATATGTCTATATGGTTAGCAATATAGGGATAAAAAGTTCTGGCGGTGCAGAATGATTTAATTTTGTAAGGTTTTTCAATTACCAGATTAGGTCATGGACGCTGCCTTACGTCAAGCATGTATTTTTCAATATTAGACTTATGCGCCCATCCATTCCCACGCAATTCCTAAAAGATTCGGAGTACTAGTTTGAAAGCAGACTTAAAAAAGGGTTCCAATGGCCAACACTAATAAAAACTCGCATAAAACGATGCCTCAAATAAGAAGAAATACCAAAGAAAATGCTGACGATCAATTTATTTTCAATTGGTTTATCCCAGCTTTAGGAGTCACCCGGCGGCTTTTGAAACTTAGCAAATATGACTAAAAGAAATACATTTAGAATTGTACAATCAACCCGGCACAACACGGCAGTCTTAGATCAATAAATAAAAAAAAAAGGCATAGACTAAGGAAGGCAAAGTAAGAAAAATCATATATTCGAGCCGCTTCCTTGGAATATTAAGTTTTAAATAAATGTTAGCTTGAATAAAATAAATAAAAAAAGTAAAAAGATAAGAATATAAAAAAAAATATGTTAGATCTATTTAAAGGCGTTGCAAAAATCTACATTACTATAATTATTTTGATTAAATAATATTTAAAAAATAATAATGAGAGAGATTAAAGATTACAACTTATTATAATTATCTAATTATATATTTTAAATTTATAATTGAGTGATCTTTAATTACCATAATCATCTTATACTTTTCCTTAAAAAATCTTCAAAAAGTCAAGATTTTTCGACGTGGAACTCTGTCTATCCTTAAAATAATCTCATTGGTCTGACCGCCATGAAAGGATTATTTTGGTAGGTTGAATTGCATCTGATATTCTGATAGCTTCAAGCCTCCAACCCCCGTATTCTACTATCATGACAGTGAAAAGAGCAGTATCTCATGAAATTTTTGGTTACCGGATAGTTAGCGCGGCCAAATCGCCTGTTATCTCTATAACCCTGTTTGCTCTTCTAATAGTTTTCATGTTTGCAGATAGTATCATTTCTAACGTATCGCTGCAGTCAGCTGCCTTCACTGAAAAAGAAGACTCTGAAGTGTTACAGACACCAAAGGTTGTAAGAAAAATAAAGTCGGATGTTCCTTCTGTACCATTGAAATTTTCTGCAGAAAGAAACACCATTAATGTTGATAATGAAAAGCCGAATTCTCTAGTTTCTTTCTCGGGTGTTAGAGAAGAACAGAGAATTGGGAGATTCGGGAGAAAACTGCCAGAATATGAGATTTTCAGGTCGGATGACTTGACAAAGAAGTTTCATGGTCGAGTTCTGGAATTCTCCAACCAGACGTGTGAAGTTCAATTCTTCATGACATGGATTTCAACGGCAGGGTCCTTTGGCAGAAGGGAAATCTTAGCTGTGGAAAGTGTTTTTAAAGCACATCCTCATGGTTGTTTGATGATTCTATCAAGAACCATGGACTCTGTGCATGGTTACAGGATCCTGAAACCGCTACTTGATCGTGGCTTCAAAGTTCTAGCAGTCACACCAGACTTTCCATTTCTTCTCAAGAATACACCGGCTGAAGCTTGGTTTGATGATATGAAGAGTGGGAAAAAGGACCCCGGTGAGATTCCACTGGCCCAGAATCTATCTAATCTAATGAGACTTGCAGTTTTATACAAGTATGGAGGCGTTTACTTGGACACAGATTTTATAGTCCTGAAAAGTTTTAAAGGGCTGAAGAATACAATCGGAGCTCAAAGTAATGATGCTGTGTGTAAGAAATGGACAAGATTGAACAATGCAGTTCTGGTCTTTGAAATGAACCATCCACTTCTATTCAAGTTCATACAGGAATTTGCTTTAACCTTTGATGGAAACAAATGGGGACATAATGGGCCCTATATGGTTTCCAGGGTAGTTCAAAGAGTAGAAGGAAGACCTGGTTTTAATTTTACCATCTTGTCACCCATGGCCTTCTATCCTGTTGATTGGATTAAAATAGGGAGCCTTTTTAAGATGCCTAAAGACAGGACTGACTCGAGATGGGTAGAAGCTAAGCTGCATCAGCTAAACGGGCAAACTTATGGAGTACATCTCTGGAATAAGCAAAGTAGCAAATTAATGATTAAAGAGGGAAGTGTAATGGGAAGATTAATATCAGAACACTGTGTCTTGTGTAGAAACATATATAGTTCTTAAAAGCAAAATTTTCAGCCTGAGGATGGTGAAGCTTATTCAATCAGAACAGATTCTCTCCTTTGGCAACACTGCGGGACTGTGATTTTTGTGCAGTTTCTTGCTTGAAAAGCCCCAATTCAAGGGCTGTGATTTTTCTTTCTTTGCAAGACTTCCATTTATTGGTTATCTGGTTCAGTTTTTTTTCTCTTCTTGTTGTAATTCTTCTTCCAAATGTAAATTAAATGTGAATTTGATACAGATTAAAGAAAAAAAGAAATAGTTCTGAATTTTTCCTCAATGCAAACGTAATTATCTGTAAATGATTGATTACTTTGAAAGCTTCTTAAAATTTGGTTGCAAAATCTATGGAGTAAAATCAGAACAATCTACCACAAATCATAATCCTAAGCCTTTTCAATCTCAATCTGAATCTAAATCCTGTACATCTCCATAAATCAAATCCTGGCAGCCTCCTAAATGACTTTTTCCTGGTCAATCTACGGTTTTTAATTTTTATTTTCCTGTTCATGAAGCTAATTTCTTTATCCATGAAACTACCGTCTGAAGCAAAATCACTTCGGTTACCAGTCTCGAAATGATTAAGTGATCCGCTCTGCTTGATGGATGCCCACGGATCCTGTGCTTCACCATCTGTATCACTTCCCCACAACGGTATAGACTTTATAATGGGTGAGCCGCTGTAATCCTGAAAATGGGTTAACAAACTAGTATGTTCCATGTCAAATAATCTCTTCAGAGACGTGCTTCCACTTTTCATCAATTCTAATAAGCTGCTACTTCTGCGAGAAGAAGAAATTGAGGAACCGGAAGCGGCTGCGGACGACAGGGAAGATGATGAAGATGAAGTCCAATACAAAGATTTCTGATATTGGATTATCCGTCCGATACTTTCCTTCTGAACTTCTGAATCGATGAAATAAGGGTTCTCTTCATCCTGTTCTTCAGTTATCTCCGATGATATCATAATCTAAAGATGTTTTTTATCCAAAATAAATCAATAATGAATGAATTAGAACCAAGTTTTGATTTTTTTTTTTTTAATGGAAGGCACAATAAGGTCACAAGAAGAAATGAGAAAAGAAACAAAGATGCCTAAAACTACCCGAAAACAAAAGTAAAAGCCGGCCAAAGATACGTCTTGTTTTGTGATACTAGTTTCCAAGTTAATTTGATAGAGCACAGTGCCAGAATTCAGAAGATTATCCAAGGTTCGAGTTGTTATTATTTTATAGATAAGTCACATTTAGGGGGAGGCTTTGAACTTGACTTCAACAGGGATTTTAAATTAGATAATGGTTGCAACCTTACTTTATAAAACAAAGAATATTCAGCTTATTATATAAATTGAAATCAAGAAAAAAGTTCATCAAAGAAATGTTAACATTCTAGATAGAGACAACTTTGTAATTCCTCCGGAGAGTAAATAAAAGAACACTCACATCTATGGTTTCCAACCACATTAGAGTTGTGATATTAATAAATGACTTATGATGGAGTTATGACACTGATTATCGAGTAGGCACGTTGATGAGCATAAAGGAAAATTTTCGAAACGTTTCAATTGTGATCAGATCTCTCTATTATTTGGGATATTTTTAAACTAACACCCGTTGGTCATGTCATACTTAAAATTACAGTTAATTTCATTTAGAATATTTGTATATAAGTTGGTTGAGTTTTTTCTCAAGATGATGTCCTTTGAAATCTTTATTCTTTAATCAGAGTTATTTTAAACTTATTTCTCTAAATAAAGTTGTCTAAGCCACATCATTTCCATGTCATTTTTTATTAAATAAAAAATTTCCCCGTCAATAAAAATAATATGTAAAAAATAAACAAATTAAAACAAAACCTTAAACCCCAGCTGCTCAATTCTTCGACCTTTCAAGAAACTAATGCCAAGAACGAACCTTCTGTGTCTCCTTATTAGCCTTTTCCTTGGGGTTGAATCAAATGAAAACCTACTACAACCTTTTGCTGTAAGAGAGTTTTTTTCAATTTTTGAAAGGAGAAAAGTGTGACTTGTCCAGGTTTGGAGGTTCAAATTACAATGGTGGCAATGGCAATAGTGGTCGAGTTTGGGGTACTTGAGTTTTAGGAAGAAAGATGGGTGGCACTCAAAAGAACATAGTCCTAGTGGGCAAGGCAAATCCAGACTACAGAATGGGGCTTTCTGTATACAGGTAGAATAAGTAGGCTTTTTTTCGATTGAAGCTCTCCTCGAACCATTTCTGATGATTGAGCCTTTCCTGAGTCAGTGAGAAAGCTCTGCTTTAAGCCTTTCTTCAGAGTTCTAGCAAGCCCTTCTTTGACCGGGCATTTCTGCGAGTTAATTATACACCCATTTCTGGGTATTTTCTGCCACATCTCATACTTAATCTTATTTTCGGACTTTGGCGAAATACGCCCCAATTGCAGCAGGTTCTGTGTAACCAAGCGAAATGTTGGAAGTGTCTTCCATGTGGGTTCAAACTGAATGGGGAATCATCCTTCATAATTGGTACTGCTCTTACTTTGACTTTGACTCATTACTATATCTTGTTTTTTTTTTTTGGTATATTTGCTTTTATTTCCATTGTGCCATTTTTAAAAAATCAATTAATTTGTAAGAATTTCCAATGCATACTCAAGCATATGTTGTTTAAGGCTCGACTCTATTATTAGAACATGGGATTGAAAAAGATCTGCTTTAGGGGATGATTTGACGGAGTAACCTTTTTTTTTTTTATCAAAAAAGGGTATTATAATTGATGTTATTTTAAATGTTGTTTGTGTGAACCGATCTTTCATTAATCAAAATCAATGCATAACTTTGAATATAGCTTCACATTCATGAAATTATGTATACATGTTAAAAGTTGAATGCGAATTTTACTTGATTTGCTTTGTGACTATATGAAAATTTTGTGATTAAGTGGGTTCTACTGGCATTATGTTTGGCAATTTTGAGGTATGGGGTTGTAAAGTTGTTCTGACAGAGTGACAATAATGTTGCAAGTAAGCAGTTCAAGAGCACTTCAAAGACTTTATGATGGGAGGTTGTCGGTTGGATCGCTATGCAATTTTTGAGAAGACTATCAGGTAGACGTTCTGCTTTATTACTCTCATGTTTAGACCATTGTTTTCAAATTTTGCTTATATATGGATAGATTACATTCATGCTATTCGTTTTAAATAAAATTTATTTTCAACATTTTTTTATTGTATTATTGTATCAAATACTTTTTTAATATTTTGTACTTTCTTTGCTCTATAATTCAACTCCAAAATATAACCCCATCAAAATTTGTAAAGCTTCTTTTAAGTTTGTTTTCTAAATAGAAAACAAGTTTATTCTCAATGAGTGAATTAACACTATTAAAAAAGATATGAGTTTTAAAGTTTTTTTTTTAATTTCCATTTTTTATAAAAGATTTTCATTTTTGTTATAGAAAGATATGAGCAACAGTGACAATGAAAAAGAAAAAAAAAATCAAAATGGTTGTCATAAAATACCTTTATTAAGGAAATAAGATTAAAAATGCTTTTATTAAGGAATAAAGATTCTATTCTATCTTAGGGTAGGAAAAAACTTCATTGCTTTATGCTTGGTAGGTATGATAGTGTTGCTTCATGATTAACATTACCACTGAAGTGATGATATCTGGTCAAAACCTCTCTGTTATACATTGTTTTATAACTATCATATACTATCTCTGTTGAATCTATATGGAATACTATCTTTGTTCACCAACTGCTTCATATTCAAACTTTTCAGATCATAGCCACAACTTCAAAGCTTGCATAACTAAACCCATTTTCTGGTGTAACATGAATGGTAGAAATTGCAGCCTTTTCAATTGCATTCATTGAATAACCATAGGGATCAAACTCAAAATCACATATTTTAGAATCTGAAAGGATCTTCCTTATGCCAGATTTAATGGTCATCAGAACTGCCAAGCTTGATTGGTCTTTGTAGAAAATTAAAGCCATTTCCCTATCCAAACCAGTCAAGCACATCTCTATAGTGTAAATAGGGCCACTGGTAATAATTGATTCTGCAGATTCAGAGTACACATGCTATTTCTATTGGTCGAGTCTACCTATTATATATGCATTGCTGCCAGTGCCAAGCTTACCAAAATAGTTATCAAAGATAGCAACTTCTTTAGAGAAGTTACAATGAGGATAGGGCTAAGCACCAGGGAAGATAAAACTCCCACAAGTATACCTTATAGAATTTATGGCAAAATCAGTTCTACAGATACTACTCCATCAAGATAAGTTGCAAAGAATATTGGGCAAAGACTTGTAAATGTCATTGAGGTTTCTTGTGACTTAGTCAATAGGGATTTATAAATGAGAACTTTGTGAAAGACTATTCAAAATGTAATTTTTTTTCTCTTTTATATTCATTTGTTTGTTGATATTACAGCTATTAACTTTGTATTAAAGCTTCTTTATTCTGTTTTAGGTAATAAAAATATTCAATTTTCTTTGAATCAAACACATATTTGCAGTTGAATAATGGGAAGTTGATAATTATTTAGGCTAAAAGATTTTAAATATTTTATGCTCCTTACTCTAAAAAAATTATGTTAAAACCATTCAAATTACAAAGTAACCAACATTTTCATAATATAATTAAAAGACAAAACTAGTAAATTGAAAACAAAATCATAAAACCTTTATGAAACTATGAAATGAACAAGTTCATGTCTTAAAAATAAAAACAGTATGCCTGCTCAACAAAACTACTTGGATATGCCATTTGCAATCACTCCCTCTATAATTCTTCTAAGAATTCTTAGTAACCCTGCATATATTTGAAAAAAAATATGTATTAAATAATTTTTAACTTAAGAAGAAAAAGAATATTACTCATGAATATCCATTATTTCCTAGCATTAGACAAATAAATTCCTTTTATCAATCTATGAAATTGGAGTAAAAAATAGAAAGTCTGGTCTCAAAGATCCATTGCTGAAAATTTTAGCATTGAAAATGGAAAACAAAGATAATATAGAGAAAATGCAAGCAGAGACACAAGCACAAATAAAAAAAATTGATAATTTATAAATGACGTGTAAGAAATATAAGGTGCTGGTAGATTCCTTGGAGAAACAAGTTATCAAATTACATCTTCAATAAACTTAAATGAAAAAGAATAAGAAATACCTTATATTTCATATTAAACTGTAATTACATTTGAATCTTTATGTCTTTTCATTTGGCATGTCCTACGATCATGGCCTGGCTTTTTACAAAGTCCGCAACGAATTGTTGTTGGACCTTTATTGATATCAATCTCAATTTTAATTTGTGTAGATTGTGGTCAACCTTTTTTTGAGCGTCTAAGATCAGGATCTGGTAATAATTACAGGATATTAGGCTCTGGCCAATAAGCTTCATGAGGGATTGGATTAAACTGAGGTGCCTAAGTTTGAGAATATTGTTCAATGGAATAATACTTTTCTATATATTACCAACTATCAAGTGCCAACCTTCCATATACAGCCATCACATGTGGATAGGAAAACTTACAAATTTATCATTTTCTACATGTACATGTTTTTTTATCAAGTTGAACAACTTATTTGTTATGAGCTCATTGCATTCTCTCACCATAAGATGCAGTTATTACTACAAACACTCCTTTTTGTATATCAAATGGAACAAGATCATGTGTGTTGGCCTTTGCTAGATAACCTTGAAGTTTGGCTGTAACATGAGGAGTGTACAAGTCTCCTTTTACCAATGCCTCTAATGCAAAGCCCCACCTAGTGCTAAAAAAATTAACCAATCGATAAAAGGTTAATTGCACACATGCTATGATAGGTAAATTTCGAGCCCCTTTTAGCATACTATTGAATACCTCAGATAAATTAGTTGTCATTATTCCATAACGTCGACCACCATCATGTGCCAATGCCCATTATTGCACCGGTATCTCATCTAACCATTTTTCGAGCTTCAGGATTAATTTTTTCTATCTCTTTCATTATGGTATCAAACTTTCGTAACTGATGTGCATTTTCGACTTTATACACAAGTATTTTCAAGTTTTTATTATGAAACTTATCATTAAAATTACTGCATATATGTCACAAGCAAAATCAATGATAAGCCCATGGTTCTTGCCATCTAGAGCCAGGCTCATTCACTGCTACACGAATACCGCAATGATGATCAGATATTAAACAAATCCCTTTTCGTTGAGTCACTTTCTCTCTAATGCAAGTAAGAAACCATCTCCAACTATCAAAAGATTCTTCCTTAGCAATAACAAATGCAAGTGACAAAAGCTGGTTATTAGCATCAACTCCCATTGCAATAAGTATTTTACCTTTATATCTTCATACAAATGAGTAGCATCAATACTTATAATTGGTTTACAATACTTGAACCTTTCAATGGAAGGTGGAAAAGCCCAAAAAATACGATGGAATAGTCCGAATACTCTAACAGTAGAATCACGCAACTACTCAAATTGCCATATAACAATCATTCCATTATACTTTTCAAGTGCAGCAATAAATTTAGGTAATACCCTATAAGATATGTCCCAATCACCAAAAACATTTGTAATGGCCTTTTGTTTTGCATGCCACATCTTTTTGTATGAAACATCATAAGAAAATTTATCTTTTACCTTGGCATTTAGAGCTGCAACTGTAATCGAAGGTTCAGTTTTCATTTGACTTTCAATCTTATGTGCTAACAAATTTGAGTCTAGTTGTGAGTGATCACGACTCAACCTTGGGTAGACATATGTATGAGGGCCATCATATTGAGTAATCTCAAAAAGTTCATGACTTTTACGTTAATACGCACGAAGCCTCCATTTTCATCCATTTTCTCGATGTCTTTTACACCTCAATGACCATATCTTTTTTTTTGTTTCCACTACTTCATACTTTTGGTGTCTCTTGATGGAGTACAATTGTACAGCTCTTTTCATTTCTGCCTTATCTTGGAAAATTAAACCTTCCTCAACTCAATATCAGGATTCCAAGCAAAATTTTAGCTTTGTGGTGTCCAATTACTAGTAATAGCATGATCAACTTGATCCATATTGGTGAAGAATGGCAAGTTTGGCTTATGAACTGGCACCTTTTTAGTGGTACTATCAACTTTTAGGTTGACATCTTTAAAATCTTTTTTCTCTTCATGTTCCTCATTTTCTTTTTTAAGTACTTCATTATTCACATTCATATCCTTGAATATATCGTTAAATTCAGAATCAACTAATTGTTCCACCGTAGTTATATTTACACTAGTATCTTTATCATATTGGCTAATACTTTCGCAATCTGAGAATCCAAAAATATTACCTATGACTGATACTTGCCTTTTCATGGTAGGTTCACTACTATTTGGCAAAATTGGATGATTAGCATGGAGGGTAGTAGCACAATCCAACGAAGTGTCATTGTCTTGTGTTAGCAATTGAGCAAATGGAACAAAACTTTTGGATTGACCCCTATATTCGACAGGTCCAATAAAAATTGATTCCACTTCTAAATACAATTTAACATTGCTAATAGAGGGATGAATAGATGGAATTTCCAACATGATATCTACGCTGGCATCATCCACAATAGGTAAACAAATATATTTAATCATTGATGATTGCACTATTGTTGGATACCGACAAACCAAATTTAGTCATGCTCATTCTCTATCAAATCCTGCAATACAATACATCTTGTCCATCAATGTGTTGAATTTTGTTTTTCACTTCATTTTAATTGCTTTTAAAGGAGGACCATAATAACACAAACCCTCTGATCCTTCAATAAAGCTACCATTCCAATAACAAAAAATTAGAATTTCTCTTTCAAACATTACCAACTAGCATTGAAATAATAAAAGATAATTATTAGCTCAATATCATATATAATAAGAATTCAATAATATATAAAATATGCCATCTGGAATTGCTTTGGATACAAAAGTAAATAATTCAAGTAGAAAAGCCATTCACTTTGTCGAGCTATTTACAACGTAAAAAATTTGAAATCAAACAATGCAATTGAAGTTGTATTGCATATATCTTTGACTAGAGATTCTACCTATAATTAGAAATTGTAAGCAAAAATATAAGCTAAAAGTATGATTTTTCATTCATTTATAAAGAAGTCCATAAACAGGCAATATTCACATATTGATTAATGCTTGTTGTAAACTTTATGAAATATTAAACTCTAGTCTAAAGCCTTGTATGGCCTGATCATGGAGAAAGCTACATAAGCAAATATATCCTTAGTTATATGGTTTATCTTAGTTCAAGTTCAAATTCTGAGTTCATCAAAATGTATTAAACTCTCACTAAAAACAAAAAAAAAAAGGAGAATGATGCAATAATGACAAACAAATTTCTTTTTGTCAAGAAAAAAAATTGATAACAAAAAAATTCTAAATTAAAGTAACCCAATAAATTATGGTCTACACATATAAAAACAAAGCCTTCTGGTATGAATTCTACTAATTTTGCTTGTCTAATTAACATGGAGAGTATATTACAATTCAACGCCATAACTACAAGGTTTAGGATTCTTACAGAATAAAAAAAAATTTTTAGATCAAGAATAATTCTGCCAAATATAATTCCCTTTGCAAACCTTTGTGCTCCAAAATTTTGTAGAGAAAATTGTGTTTAATAAAAAAAGTAAAATGTAGGGAGAAAATAGATTTAAGGTTTATAAGGAATTATAATTTAAGAAAAAACAAACCCTTACAAGTTTAATGTTTCAATTTTTTTTAAAAATATTTTTTTATTTAAATTGTTATTTAAAATATATGATATGGAGTTACATATCATTAACATGACATAAATACCTTTCTTAAAGAAATAAGTTTAAAAGTACTCTTATTGAGGAATAAAGATTTTAAAAAACCTTACCCTTGGAAAAAACTCTAAGTTGGTCATGTCAGGCATATTCATCCACATTTATTAAAGAATTAATTGATTTTGATCACTTTGGATGCATTTAAAGTACAAATAATTACTGAGAGCAACTCTCTTGAATTGGAAATGCATACCATTTGTTTATTACATTATTATGACATGTACCACAACCACGTTTATGTTGTTTCAAACCGTCCCTGACCAATTTGCGAAATCAGAAACAAACGATGATACCATTTTTTTTATATATTATTATGTATATGTACAAGTAATTTGTTGTCTGATCATGTCTCCAGCTTTAAGGAAATTCTCTGTTCGTTCAATGCTTGGGCCATTCAGAAAAATGTCCAAGAAGTCATTGACTTACAGATTGATTAGCCGTATGGCAAAATCGCCTGTCCTATCCACCATTTCATTTGCTGCTATACTTTGTTTTATTTATGCGGATAGACCAATGTCTAATCTTTCCATTAACACTGCAAACATTAAGACAGGTGAGGTTCTCCCTTCTCCTCAGACGACTACTCCACTTGGTGGAGGAGAGGGACAAGTTGCCACGCGTTTGAATAGCTTGCCAGTAGCTGTATCTACCACCCCGGCAAGAAGGATTGAAGAAGGAACTGAGAATGAAGATCCTCTAATTCCTCCTTTCAAGGCCTCGGTAGATGAAAGAATGGAATGGTTCAGGAGAAAACTACCGGAACTTGAAATTCTCAAATCTAATGAGTTGAGTAAGAAATTCCATGGTCGGGTTTTGGAATTGTACAATAACAATTGTTCTGCTCAGTTCTTCATGGTTTGGCTTTCAACGGCGCAGTCCTTTGGACCTAGAGAGTTCTTGTCCGCGGATAGTCTTTTCAGCACCACACCTGATGGATGCTTGCTGATTTTGTCAAGCTCCATGGACACCGCAAAAGGGTACAGGATCCTGAAACCACTCCTTGATCGCGGATTTAAAGTTCTTGCAGTCACACCAGACGTGCCCTTTCTAGTCAAGAATACTCCAGCTGAAGCGTGGCTTGATGACTTGAAGGGTGGGAATATGGACCCTGGTTCAGTTCCTTTATTCAACCATCTTTCTGATCTAATCAGGCTAGCAGTCTTGTATAAGTATGGAGGAGTTTACTTGGACACGGATTTCATATTTTTGAAAGATTTATCAGGGTTGAGGAATGCCATTGGTGCGCAAAGTATCAACCAAGTAACCAAAAAATGGACCAGGCTAAATGGTGCAGTTATGATCTTTGACATCCACCATCCTGTTTTGCTGGAATTCTTAAAGGAATATGCCAAAACTTTTAACGGAAACAGGTGGGGCCACAATGGACCATACTTGGTTTCCAGGGTCTTGGAGAGTATACGAGACAACTCTGAATATAACATTACAATTTTCCCACCAAAGGCCTTCTATCCAGTGAATTGGGTTCAGATAGCCAAGCTGTTTAAGAAGCCAGAAACGGAGGCAGACTCAAAATGGGCAGATGATACACTGGCTGATATGAGCAGCGAGAGCTATGTAGTTCACTTGTGGAACAAGAGAAGCAGAGAATTGAAGATAGAGGAGGCAAGTGTCATGGCAAGATTGATTGCAGAACACTGTAATATTTGCGAGAACATATATGATCCTTGAAGAAAATTTCTTCTCTAATAAATGGCCGAGGAACCCTCTATATGAAACCGTTCGCCATACAGGACTAACAAAATCAACAAAAAGGCCCTTCCTTTTCAATAAGTTATGATTCAAGTGTAGTAAGTAAATCTTTCATCACATTAGTTTTTTTTTTTTGTCATTTATTGATTTTTTTTTTTTTGTGTTTCCACAGTAGAAACGAAATAATTATTTGTTTCCCTGAAAAGTTGTTAGACATAACTGTTGTGAAACATAATCTGCATATGAAATTCATTATCTTCTTGTATTATTTTATTTCTCAAATACAAATGAAATTGCTTAATTTAACAAAGTACATAGAGACGCCAATCTACCAAGATATCAGGAAAGAAAGAAAAAAGGGTAGTGGATAGAAGGCAAGAACAATAAGGTTTTGTAAATGTGGAGTTCGAGATTGCAAATGGGGGAGCGCACCAACGTTAATAATAACAACTTCTACCGAAATTTTTCTTTTTTAAAATAACGTTTTATTTATAGTTAAAATGGCTACTTATTGATTAAATCGCTAAAAATTGCTGATAGAAGCCTTCGATAAAGTCTCTATGTTGAGCATTTAGATTACCCTGCCAGAATGTCTCACGCCGTATATTTGAGATAGCGTGAGAGGAACAGAAGAGGAAAGCAAATTGGAAACGAGTTCTTTTCTAAACTCCATTCCTTTCCAATTTCTTTTTTTTTTTTTCCTCATATTTTGGAAATCAGGAAAGAAAAAAATTATCAACAATTCACAATAAAAAAAGTGTTTTAACAACAGCAAATACAACAAACCCAAATTCTTAAATTTAAGAAATACAAGGGAAACAAACAAATTAGCCATAATGGTTTAGTTAACTAAAAAAACGAGACTCGTCAATTTCGATCTTGATCTTCTCATTATCATCATCTAACTTATCTTTTTTTGGAGGAGACGGCGGAACCAGCGCTCTCTGTGGGCCTCACCCCTTCTTCTTGTCCCTGGGCTTCGCCTATTCAATTTTATTTTAAAAAATAAAATAAAATCAATTTCCATTATCGACCTTTCAAGTTTCACAAAAAATGGGAATAGCACTTAAATTGCCAAAGGATTGATTAAAGCGCTTCCCTCTCTCTGTTTTCTTATCCCCATCGCCACAGTTTTCTGAAAGCCAAATAAAAACCAAAATTCTATGTCTTCAAAAGATACCCAAAAGTAGTGATAAGAAATTGTTGTTCCTTTAGTTACCATAGGGAATTGAGGGAGAAGAAGCTGCGGAGAGTGAAAGTTGGGAAGTTGAAACTGACAAGGGAGTTCCGAGGGTCTGCGAATGAGAAGAGGAAATACGAGAAAAAGAAGAAAGATTGAGAGATTAAGCTGGGAGTGGAACAGCTCCATATAGAAGGGAGACATTCTGGCAGGTCAGTTTTAGCCCAATGCCAACATTTCCTTGTTTGTTGAAGCCCAGTTCAATCCACGGCCAGTTTGAGCCTTCAGGCTCTTATTTGAGTTTGGAAGTAAATTAATGGCCCAAATATCCATGGCCGAGATTGCCCATTGCAAATTGAAATCTTGATTCTTGGTTTTTAAACAAAGGGTCAAATTATTATTTTTTTCTTTTGTAAGTTCTCTACTTATAATCTGACAAAGATGAAATACCAAGTAATTGAAGACAAGATTTGGATCTAACTACTTCTTCTGAAGCTACAGCTTTCACATGCAATCCTCCTTTAATCTTAAAGTACCCATGTCTAATCCTTTTAAGGACGCTTATACCAGAAGCATTTCATTTATTATTATTTTTAAACAAAGAGTTTCTTGAATGCTGGAACAGATGATGACTCTGAATCTAACATGTTACTTTCTTTTAACGGTAACTGTAGAAATCATGCAGGCAATATAACTTATGGACAAAGTACCTTGCTAAGAAAGGACACAATTCGTTTAAGAGGCTAAAGCAGGAATTTGGGGAACAAACAAGCTTATTATATTTGACGTAAGAATGCTTTGAATATTGTCAACTAGTAAAAGATTTGAAGTGAACTCAATCCCAGCAGTGAAATCATGTGGGTTAGATGGTCAAATTTTGCTTACAAGTTAAGACTGATAGCTTTGAGTAGCCTAACCAAACTTCAGCTATCTCTTAAACTTGTAGTCTTAATGGTTTTCAACCCATTGTCAAGAAAATTATACTTCAACAAATATTGGGACTACTTTGCTTTTTTTTTTTTTTTTCTAATAATTTAAAACCTATATCCCTATTAATAAGTTATTTAGAGTAAATTATATGCTTTAATCATTCTCCAAATTGTCATTCAATGTCATATTGTTTATGTATTTATGTAAAGCATAAATATAAGAAGTAAAGATAGAAATATATGAAGATAGAATCCTAAGCTTTTGTCCAATCAATATCAACTTTGTGAGATTGGCATAACAACAAATCAAATAACAGCATCAAACACACAGCTAATAAAGTAAGCATGGGTTTGATTTGGTCAATACCAACAAGATCTTATTGGAACCAACTCTCCTGCATGAATCACATAGTGTGTCACTTCTTTCTTTACCTAATCATGCGAAAAAAAGAATCCAACAATACCAAACTGGGTTCAAATCAACACTTGAAATCTGGTGAAGCCTAATCATGCTTGTTGTCTTTTCAGCTATGGTATAAAGAAAAAATGTCAATTAATTAGTTTCTAATAAAACTTTGATTAGTTGGTCAGCACTGTCAAATAAGGACATTTACACACTTTCCCTTTAGAAATATAAAGAAACAGAAAGAAGACACCTATCTATCGGTTGCATGTGCTAGAAAAAAAGAAAAAAAGAAAAAAATTGAACACCGATGAAGAAAGATGGAAATTATTAATTAATTTAATTATTATAAGTATAGGCTTTTGATTAAGCATGAAATCACATGAGATATGTTTACATGTGAAATTTAAGGAGGGAATACTTAGGAGTAAAGAATGGCACGTGACAAACACATGAGCCACGTGGGACGGGTCCACGGCCCACTCTTCGAATGTCAAAAGGGCCAGTAAAACATGTCCAAATGCAATCTTTGAAGCCTAGCCGAGTTTCTCAATAAAAAATCATTATACACCCATACCCTTTGATTTTTTTATTTTTATTTTTTATAATTAAAGTTACACTTTAGAAACATGATAGCAGTAATAATTGGAATTGCATAAAGCTGTTACAAAAGTTTAATTGTTTAAGGAAGAGCAGCAAAATTTTTATATTTTCCCAACAAAAGAAGGATGAGAAAGCTAAACATATAATATTATCGGATTTAATTAGGCCAATGCTTTTGATAGCAAGGGAATCATTCCAATTCAACATACTATTTTTAATTATCAACTAATTTAAGGGGAGAGAAAAAATAGAAAAAAAAAAAGGCAAAAATCCAGCACACATCACATGTAGGGGAGATTTTGCTATCCGCCCATGTATGATACAAAATATGGAGAAAAACAGGGAATTCATTTTTTTGGGTTTTGTTTCTTTTTCTTTTTTGGTCCTTCTTTTGGGCTGAATTTAGGTTGAGTTGTTGATCATGAGTCAGCTCAGTGGTGCGGTGGAGTTGCTCCTCCTGCTGGTACTGGAGGCTTGCACTGATAGCACTTGGCAAACAAACCGAAAGTGTCAATTTGCCTGATGAAGTTGGTCATGCTAGCCCATCCACCGAACCCAAATCCAACCACCAGAACCCACACCACAATGAAGGCGTTGAATGCATACATTGCAGTCCAGCTTGGCATGAAGAATGGAGGCTTTTCTGCAGCACTCTGCCCAGGAGAGAGATAGATTAGAAACAGAAAATTAAACTACCTAAATCCAATCGTGGGTTGGCATTTGTTGACAAAAAAATGTGACTGGAATGAAAAGAATCAAGTCAGCCAGCTCATCCCAGATAGAGTACAACTCTGCAACTGTAGCATATAACTAAATGAAAAAGACACGCCAACCATCCAATTCTTCTCGTAATGTTTCCAAATCCAAGCCTTAAATGCTTTTGTACATTTGCTGCAGACTCATCCCCACCCTCTCTATCCACACAATTTGGCCATATCTACTGCGGAATGTGGGAATCCTCATCAAACTTTCAGGATTGCCCATTTAGTTTTTAAAGACAAACATGCCCCTAATAAATAAAGATAACTACAGCTTGAACCCTACATAAAGTGATCAAAAGGGCAGTACCTGTGAAGTGGGACAACAAGATAGTGGTCCTAGTGAAACTTTTGTAAAGAGAGAGGATAAATAACAGTGAAGTGAAGCAAAAGATGATAAATTTTACCTGTCGAGCAGAGGCTTTTCTGTAGGTGAGCATATGGGCTAAAGCTGGGATGACGTAGACGGTGAAGCTAACCAGAAGAGCACCGACAGCAGAGTTTATGGGCCCAAAGAATGGGAAGATGATCGCCAGGAACCAGATTGGAATCACCACTGGCAGCCTTGCCAGCGCCCTCAAACAAATGCTTCTTGTGTCATGCATCCCAATCACTTTCTCCCACACGAAGTACAATGGAGTACAAGCAAACCCAAATGTTATAAACTGCAACCATTTCATGAAATCACACTGTTACTTTTGCTATTAGAACCATCATTGCACATTCAAATTAACTAAAGTCGTTGGTTACAAGTACTAGTACTAGTACTTTAGGAGGAAAAAACTGCTTCCAAAATGCCTAGCAAGCAATGATTAAAAAATTTTAACTAAGGAGTAAAAATTCATTTGGAAATAAGACTAGACCTGGTGAATAAGCATTAAGATGACGGCAGCGTCACGGAAACCGGACTTGGGGAGGAGAGAAAAGGCATTGGAATGGTTGAGAAGCTGGTCCCCGAATGCCCAGTAGACGGCAGAAGCGGATGGAATGGTTAGGGTAAAAACGTACAGTGTGGCCAACAAGTATATATACTTGAATTTTTGAGGCTTCCACATTGCATGCATGATTTCACTGAAAAGAAAAGAAAAGAAACAATCCTTCAATCAAATTTTGTTTTTACCTAGAAAACAAGGTAAAAAGGGTAAAAAACTTTTGTGAAAAAAAAAAAAAGTGGTAATGTTCATTCACTAAGTGGTGTTATTTTGATTAGGAAGTATACCTAAATGGCCAAAATGCCCTCAAGCCATTAGATGCCCAAGTAAACAGGTAGTGGAATTAGATCTGACGTTCCTCTACTTTTTTTACATTTTTTTTAGGTGAAAGAACCATGCACTGTTAAGTCTGTGATAGAGAAATTATGGTACAGGTAAAAGACAAAGGAAAATAGACTAGAATAAGGTCAGAATCAAGATGTTACAGGAAAAAAAACAATTTGCAAATAGTTTAACATAAGTCCATTCCCTGTTCAATTTTCCTAGAGAAATGGAGAAAGGAGGGACGGGAAACTGTAATGTTTGTTTCCGAGCAAACAAAAGTAGCTTTGTTTACATGATTTTGTCTGGGTCTCGGAAACCGAGATGGCCGGCAAAAGCTGCAAAGAGAAGCCGTGTAGAAACAAAAGAAACAAGAAAGGGCAGAGTGAAATCACTATTTTTGTTCTAAATTTTGAAGGAAAAGCTTACACAGTCACAGCGTGTCCGCCAAAGGTGTAGAGAATGTTGGTGGCTCCGGTGAAGTAGAGCACTAGCTTTGTTGGACCGCTGTGCGTCACCCCCTCAGCCTGAGCAGCAGAAAAATCATATGTAAGGAGAAGAGAAAAGCATTGAAAACAGTGGTTGAATGGGAAGGAAGATCACGGCCGTTTATTTGTTAGTTAAACTTTTTTTTACCTGGCCGTGAACAAGGGCAGCTATGGCCAAGTACCAGGCCGTATAGGTGGTCATCCCAAGGCCTAGAAAAGACCAAATACGATAGTTGTGAAAAGAGGGTATGAAAACAGTGGTTGCGCAGCAAGCTCCAAAAATATAGGTCCATGTCCTCTTGTCCAATTTGTCATTGATGTAGTAAATATTACTGTTATAAGACAAGTAAAAACAAGGGTTAAAAAAAAAAAAAAGAACGACACCCAGTTTTAGGTTCTGCTTAAATTTGATGTTAAATCAAGAAGAAAGATCGATACTAGCCTTGCGCAGGCTATAAGTTGTATGACAGATCCGAATAATAGGAATGTACAGTTGAAGGCAAGTCCAACTGCCTTCCAGTATGGACCCAGCAGCCCATCAAGCACTTCAAACCACTGCAATCCGAAACATATAGTAGAAACTTTTTAGCACAGTTGAGATCGCTAAAAGGGATTTGTTGGACACAGTATTCTTTTTATATATTTTTCTAGGGTTAGGCTAAGGAAGATTATGCACAGTCAGTGTTGGAGGGTGGGTCTCAGGTTTCTTGACAAGTAACACAAACCTGGATGACATGGTTCTTGAAGCTGACGTTTTCCTTCTCCTTCCTGCTTCTATACTCTATATAGAGCACACTGATGAGATATGCAGTCCAACTTCCCATCAGTCCATAAAATACCTGAAGCAGAATTCCTGACAGCATACCCAATTGAGAGAAGGAATAGGGCAGTGTCAACAGCACTTGTGCCACCTATAAGGAAAACGGAAGAAGAAAATTGTCACTTTTAAGAGTAAAAATGATGAGGCGAACTGATAGTTGAGCATAATTGGGTAATGGGTTTTGGAGAGGGTACTTGATTGGAGGCGCAACTGAACCAGGCATCCCAAGCAGAGCCACCATGCCAGAGGAGGTTCTTAACGCTAAACATTGATTGTTGTTCTTCTTCTTTTTCTTCTTTGGTTTCATGCTCCTTCTCGCTAAAGTTGGAGACTATTGCTTCTTCTGCTTGCTTCTGAGGCAACATTGTCTTCGTTTTTCTCTAAAGGCAACGTCTAATCCTGGTAGATCTGAAACATATACAAGACAATCAATGAGACAAACTATAATCAAACGAGCAGCCCCAAGAAAACGAAAGCCACTAATAACCCAGATCCAAACACCCTCAATTTCTTCGAAAACGTAGAAAAAGATAAACTAAAACTTCCATTCCATAGAAAAACCAAAAGGGAAGGGAAAGAAAAATAAAGAAAAAGTCAAGTGAGTTGAGAACAAAAAGTAGAGAGTATTAACATGTTTTTCACGAACCAAACCCAAGAGAAAGAAACTTCCCCAATCCCCAATACCACTTTCAACAAACCTTGTTCTGAGTTGTCTCTTTCTAGTAAAAGATTGAAGAAAATCAACCAGAGATCTGTCAATGACCCCAAATGAGTGCGATCGAAAGACTGTCCTTTGCTTAGTTGATCTATCACCTTTATTTTTTTTCTCCTTCTCAATAATGGAAAAGGAAAAGGCCAAATAGGCTAGCAGGGCAGAGTTGGATATATGCAATAAGAGAAGAATTCTCCACCCAAGAACTGGCAGAGAGCTTTAAATGCCTCCCGAAATAATTACCTCAAATCTCCTGCTCCGAATCTATTTGCCTCCCTCCTCTGTCAAGAAAAACTAAACTTTATCCACAGTAAAAGCTCCTTACTTTAATGCGGCCACCAATTTTCTCTGCTGAAAGAAAAAAAAACAGTGCTGTATCCAAAGACGGCGAGACCTTAAAAGCAGGAAAAAAATCTCTCACTCCTCCCTCACCTCACCCCCCGATTCAATGGTCTTCGCAGTTGTTGAACAAAACACCCTTTTCACCCCTATTCAACTACTATATATCTTTATATACTTTATAGTAACACTGCAGTAGCATCAAACAGTATCACTCTATTTGTTTTTTTCTCTCTGTTTTTGGCTTTGAAATTTCCTCTACCCCCAACAGTAAGGAGCTAAAGAGAGTTTCTTTTTGGGAAGGAGTTTGAAAGAAAAGAGTGAGAGTGACTAAACCCCAAATTCCCTATGTATTCCACTTCTGATTCGATTCTTGGGTCTTCTGTTTGTTTTGGTGGGTAAGAGAGAATTAGAGATCGAAGCGACTGAGACGTTGTTCTGATCACAAAGAAAGACTCGACCTGACCAAAGACCTTTGCTTTTTATAGCCCTTTGGAAGCTTTACTTCAACGACTAAGATAACTGATATATCTATCTACATTCTACATTAGTCAAAGCTTTTATCTTTACTTTTACTTTTACTTGATTGACTCTTCGTCAAGTGTTTGTTTGAATTTTTGTAACAGGAGAGATGGGTTAGTGCCAGGATAATTTATTTCTACCTCAGAGCTTGTTCAAAGCTCTTAAATTTTGTTATATTTATGTGTTAAAAAAAAAAAAAAGAAAAGGAAATGCTGCTGCTGCTGCTTTTGCCTAAGCTGAAGCCCGAAATCTCAGATCCAAATCCAAATCTTAGTCAATAATTCCGGGGATTCATTTTTCCCAATTAAATTCCCTTTTTTTAAAATTTTGTTTTCTAATGCTGGATTCATTTTACGTATTGAATTTTAATTGCTCGAAGCCGCCATGGCTTCGTCAAGATACCTTCCCTGTCCCCCAATCAATGAAAATGAATCCCCATCTCCCACTCAATCCGACCAACGTGTGCACTTCACAGCATTAGTAACGTGAACAAATGGGCGCGTTTTGAAGCACGCTTGTGAGAGGCGCGCGGCCGTAACACATTAGCAAGTTCCCCATGGGCTGCCTAACCCAACCAACCAGTGATAATGGAGGCCCAGTTTTATTTCCTTTTCTTTTTTGGAAAATACAAGGTTTAGACTTTTTTTTTTTTTGGGGTTTGATTATATTATGTTTAGATTTTAAATTTTGTACTTGAGATGTGAAGATCTTAATTTTAATCATTTAAATTTAAATTTAAAATTTAATATTTTACTGATAGATGGTACATTTGTCGGCGACTTTTAACTATTTAAACATTGATCAAAATATCTTGAATAGAGTTAGTATTATATTTTTTTATTTTTCTTTTAGATAATGATCATAATATTTATAGGGTTTAGTCTAAGATTAACTCAAATATTATTTTAAAAAATATAGTTGTTTTTAACAAAAAAGAATGTATTAGTTATATTTTTTCTTAAATAGGATTTAAATAAATGCCACTAAATAGGAATTAATATATTTCATTTATATGTTAATCATTTCTTATCTTATAAATTTTACTTTCCTCTCTCAAGACATGAATTAGAAATATTCAAGTTAAAACATAAATTTGACAAATTTTTTTGGTTAGGGAAAATTATACGAATTGTTAGTTTTATGAAACTAATAACAAATATTTATTTTTAAATTCTACTTGTAAAGATTTTTATAATAATTAAAACTTTTTATTAAATTTGAAAAATTTTGAAAAAGAACGAAAAAGGAGTCAATATCGGCGCGGCCAGAGAAATGGAAGTCTGTAAAGGAAAAATGGCTGAAGCCAAGCCAAGATGGACCCGCCATAATGCGGCACGCTTTTAAAGGAAGACACGCGCACAATGAAGCCTTATAAAACCCCACTTTGTGGACGGCTCATGATATAAACATGCCCTTTAATCGACGGCTTGGTTGTGGCCCATTATGTATGGCTGGACCCGCCCTTCATTATCTCTAAAATTCAACTTTTTATTTTCTTCGTCCTTCCAATTCTTGGATTCTCTTATCCATTTACTTTTGTTAAAAAATAAAATAAAATCATTGACGAATGTGCGAATACTCTTTGGTAAAAATTTAATTTAACAGCTTGCACAAACGTTTATTGTCAATGACAGATTACTTAATTTTGCCACAAATGTTTTGCTATGAGTATCATAATTAAAAAAGGTGGTGATGATGAAAATGACGGTGGCAATGGTGGTGGTGGTCTTGGTGGAGCCACCATGGTATAGTAAAATGGAAGAAATGTTAGTGATATTCCATACAAAACACCCGCGTTGCCCCGTTCAAACGGGGATTTGTCGGCTTGGTGAGGGTTCTAACCTCGGCCCGTTCGCCCACTTCAAGTTTATCCCTCACTATTTTCGCATCTTTTTTTCCATTTCCCTTTGAGCCAATTGACTTATCGTTTCGACTAATAAAGTGCACGTAGTTGTGAAGTGAGGTGGGATGAAACAATGCCAAAAGCAGCCGTTCCGGTTTTGTTTTTAATTTCTTTTTCTGTCAAACCATAATTAAAGAATAGTTATAAGATTTTTGACGTTGGGTGGGATATATCGTATATGCTTAGTGGGAGAAGTAATGATTAGGAATAGATTTTGAAACCCCTCGCTTTGGTCTTTTCAATTGGCATCAAAATTCGGAGCATGTTCCATCCATGCCCCTTACCGGGGTCCCTCCCACATTTGCCTTCTCTACTTCTCATATTGCTCCTTTGGCTTGTCGAAAACATATCCTCCAATTGATGGATGGGTGTGAAAGACTTTTAAGGATTATTGCAATTGTTATGATTATATATATTGTTCAACTTTGATCTTTTTATCATTCATTCATGTAGGGAACAAATTTTTCTGTCACGTAAGATCATAGGCATAATTTCTCTTTAATCATGAATATGTATACTGCCATTTGACCTATAGTTCAAAGCAAAATTTTCACTGTAATAACATGCATTATTAGCAGCTGTGTAAAAGTTATGCCCAAAAAATGAGGTCCAGTCTCGTATAATTGATTTTAGACCAATTAAAAGTCATGAGTATTGGTCTTTCTTTTTACAAAGAATCGTGACTATTTAATAAAAAGAGGTAGGGTTATTTTAATATGGTATCGCAAATCAAGAAAAAAAAATGAAGAAAAGCTAGAAAAATAGAAAAAAATGAAGAATGGAAAGTTGGTTGTACGAAAGTCAATCCGTGATCCGATTGAGTTAAAACTTTGTCAATAATTTTATGATTCAGAGTTTTATATTCTAAACGGTGAAATCGAGTTTAAAACTCTCTAAGAACAAATTCAAGATATATTTGTTGAGTCACCTATTTGATGGGATTTCTCAAATTATCTTACTCTAATTGTTAATTAGCTCTAGTTTTAGCTAGAGAAAAACTTTGTATATCCATTATTTGATAGTGAAGATTTTTCTGGTGGTTCGTGATTTTTTCTTCTATACTAAAGGATTTTTCACATAAATCTTGGTATGCTTTATTTTTCTTACGTTGTTGATTATTGATTGTTGTCTTTACTATAGGTTTATTGCGATATATTACTTTTGCATTGTTGTATTTATTGCTTAAAGCCCAACAAGTGGTATCAAAATGATGGTTATTTTGAGACAACGATACAAAAGCAACCCAAGATAGAAGTAAATTATGTTTGAATTCATTGAGGATAATACAAGTTTCATGATAAATTGACATCATCAAATTATTCAATTTGAAAACCTATGATAGAAGATCATTTATACTACAAAGATTTGTATGAACCGATATTAGGTGATTCGACTAAATCAGTATATATGAAAGATGAAAACTAAAAGAAATTAGGTAAAAAGATACTGGCTACAATCAAAAAATGGATTGATATTAGCGTATTTCATCATGTAGCGCAGAAAGCATATGCCTACATTGTTTGAAAAAAAATGGTAGCATTGTATAAGAGAAAAATATGTATGAATAAAGTTATGTTTGTTAAAAAGCTTGTAACTTTATAGTATAGAGATAGATAATATATTACAGAAACTTGAGTGATTTTTAAGATATATTTAATCGTATGACTCTTATAAAGCTTAAAATGGATGATGAAATAAACGCATCATTTCTTTTGGGTTCATTGTCAGATAGTTGAAATATTCTATCTATGACTATTCTTAATTCAGATCCTGATTATAAGATGACATTGGAGATAATAAAAAATAGTATGCTTAGTGAATAAGCAAGGCGAAAAGATGTAAAATATGGGAATCAAGCTTTGGTCACAGAAAACAAGGATAAAAATTCGACAGAGGTTAAAACTCAAAATGTCATAGTAAGTCTAAATATAGATCCAAGTTCAGAGATAAAGTGAAGTATTTTCATTATCGTAAAGCAAGTCATATAAAATAACACTATAAAATCTTGAAGCAAGAGCGAAAATATGAGAAAAATAAGAGTTTAGATGATGACAATGTTACAATGATGAATTTAGATAGTGATTCAGTTACTTTGATTTGTACACATGATGATTGTAATCATGTTGGTGATCTTGGGATAGAGTGAATAGTGACACATGAGTGGTATATCATTATGTTCTTAAGAGAAAATTGTTTACGACTTACAAAGTAAGAGACTTTGATTGCACCAAGATGAAAAATAAAAGTGTCACAGATTGTTGAGATTGATAATATTATTGTACAAATTAGTATAGGCTATATGTTGACTTTGAGGGATGTTAAACATATTTCAAATATGAGAATAAACTTATTTGCTACTAATGTCCTTAATAAAAAAAGATATGAGAATCGACAAAAGAATAGGTAATAGAAGCTTCTCAAAGGATCTATGATAGTTGTAAAAAAAAACTATGCTACACAATGTATAAGACATAGATACAATTGAACGGTAACCAAATAAATACCATTAAGGATGATGCTTTAACAAACTTGTGACATAAAAGGTTAACACATATGAGTGAGAATGGGTTATAGGTTTTGGCAAAATAGTTTTTCATTTCCTTAACCAAAGGTATGTCTTTTGATTCATATAATTATTGTTTGTTTAGTAAGCATCATAAAATTTCTTTCCGTAAGAGTTCTTAGAGAAAAAAAATAGTTTAAAATTAATTTATTCTGATATATGTGATCCCATTGAGGTTGAGTCATTAGGTGATAACAGATATTTTATTATTTTTATTGATGATACTTCACGTAAGACTTGGGTGTATATGTTAAAAAATAAAAATCAGGTATTGTAGTATTTTTAAAAATTTTATACCATGGTGAAAAAGATGATAGGGTTGTCTTTGAAGTGTATTCGGATTGATAATGATGGGGAATACACATCCAAAAACTTTAAAAAGTATTGTTCAAAAAATGAAATTAGGCATGAGATGACAAAACTTGAAATACCACAGCATAATGGTGTAGATGAATGGATAAACTACACCATTGTGAAAAAAATCATATGTATATTGAGAATGCAAAATTATCAAAGCTATCTAGGTGAAGCTTCAACACAGCTTGTTATTTGCTTAACATATCACTATTAGTTACTTTGGGCTTGACATTCCAGAAAGAGTGTGGACAGAGAAAGATGCTTCATTTAAGTGTAAAGCGTTCATACATGTACCAAAAGAACAAAAATCAAAACTTGACAGT